CAGGGGAGAGACATCTATCCAAAAATGGTTTGTAGGGGGTCACGACCCGCCACCACCCCTGCCGAGAACTATGCCGTGAATTAGAGGGTGGTTCTCACTTATGAAATTAAGTTAAGTTATATTTGCAATAGTGATACAAGTGGTAGAAATACAGCGCTGAAAACATGAATGTGCAATTGTCTTACCCTTATTGCAGGGATATAACAGGGATATGAACCAAATACATGAAGGAGAAAAAAAGATCAACAATATAGACGGTAATGTATATATGATATAAAAAATATGGTGATTAAGTCAGGGCTGCCATCAGAAATTTTGGGGCCCCTGACACAGCTCAAGGTCTGGGCCCCCTGGTGCCTGCACCCCAGTCCGCCCAAAGTGCTGCCCCTCCCCCCCCCGAGTCCGCCCACAGGGATACAGTGTCTGCAGGGCCGATGCAAGGATTTTTGCCGCCCTAGACAAAAGTAAAGTTTGCCGCCCCCCCCATGTGACATCACAATGCCGCACCCATATGATCTGCCATGTTAACTAACACCAGTGATGCAGTGCCGCCGTGTTTACATTAAAAGGCCTGCAGGGACAGGCTATAGAAACCAGAACCACTGCATTAAGCTGCAGTGGTTCTGGGGACTATAGTGTCCCTTTAATGTGAGGTAAATTAGAGATTAGTGCCACGAATAATATACTAGATTGCCTACTTACAACCAGATGAGGATGATGATGGGCTCTAGCTGTCGTCTGGCTCCACTGGTCTGGTGTACAACAGGCTCTCTGGAGGCGGTTTGTAACTGTGGTCACAAAAATCACTGTTCTGGGAGAACGGGAAGCAGCTCCATTTTTTTGAGGGCCCTTTACACAGCTCAAGGTCTGGGTCCCAGGGTCCACCTTCATGTTCCACCAATGAGTTTGTTCACAGGGAGTGGATTGTGTGTGGGGGGGATGTCCTGATGTGTGTAAGGAATGCATTTTGTGAATCTATGTTTGTATGTGTAAGGGCTGCAAGGTGAGTTTGTGTATGTATGGGATGCAGTGTGTGCGTCTGTAAGGGATGCATTGAGTGTGTGTAAGGGGTGCATTGTGTGTTGCTGTGTGTAAGGGATGCATTGCTTGTGTACGTGTATCTGTGTGTAATGCATTGTGTGTTTTTCTGTGTGCAAGGGGTGCATTGTGTGTGATGGATTTCAATCTCTCCCCCTCCCCCCGTCAATTTCCTTCTCCCCCCTCTCCCTCCAATTTCCTTCTTCTCCCCCCCTCTCCAATTTCCTTCTTCCCCCCTCCAATTTCCTTCTTCTCCTCCTCCCTCTCATTTCCTTCCTCTCCCCGTCTCTCAAATTTCCTTCCTCTCCCCCGTCCCTCAAATTTCCTTCCTCTCCCCGCTCCTCAAATTTCCTTCCTCTCCCCGCTCCTCAAATTTCCTTCCTCTCTCCCTGCCTCAAATTTCCTTCCTCTCCTTCCTCAAGGTTTCTTCCTCTCCCCTCCCAATTTCCTCTCCCTCCCCTCCCTCAAATTTCATCTCCCCTAAATTTCCTTCCTCTACCCCCCCTCCTCAAATTTCCTTCCTCTCCCCCCTCCCTCAAATGTCCTTCCTCTCCCCCTCCCAAATTTCCTCCCTCCCCTCCCTCAAATTTCCTTCCTCTCTCCCCCCCCCTCTCAAAATTTCCTCTCCCTCCCCCTCAAATTTCCTTCCTCTCCCTCACCCCCCTCAAATTTCCTTCTCCCCCCCTCCCTCAAATTGCCTTCCCTCTCCCCACCCCCCCCCTCAAATTTCTTCCTCTCCTCCCCTCCCTCAAATTTCCTTCAGCTCCACCCCCCCTCGATTTCCTTCCTCTCCCCCCTCAAATTTCCTTCCTCCCCTCCCCTCCCCTCAATTTTTGCCCTTCCTCACCCCACAATCTCCTCCCTTCCTCCTCTCCCCCCCCTCCTCAAATTTCCTCCTTTCCTCTCCCCCCACCCCTCAAATTTCCTTCCTCTCCCCCTGACACCCAGCGGGCGCGCGGGGGAGCACTCTCCTCTGTGTGCTTCCTCTTCAGCTCCCTCACGCGCCGCGTACTGATGCCAGCGCCGGAAGATGACGTCATCTTCCGGCTCCGGCATCAGTACGGTGCAAGGGATCTGAAGAGGAAGCACACAGAGGAGAGTGCTCCCTCGCGCGCCTGCCGGGTGTCAGCAGGGCCAGCCTCTGGGGGGCCCTGAGGTGACCAGCTGCTGGGCCCCCCAGGAGAAGAGGCTGGCCCTGTGGGTACATACCGGGGTCGCAGGGCCCCCTGTGACCCGGTATGTACCCACTGAATGTGGGGCCCGGACGACCTGAGCAGTCCGGGCCCCCAGGACCGCCGGGCCCATGACAACCGTTACGGTTGTCATGCCCTGATGGCGGCCCTGGATTAAGTCTACTCACATGGATGACAGCCTAAAGATACTGTCTCAGTAAACAGCACTTCTATGCTTTTAAGGTGGCATACCACCTCCACCAAACAGAGTTCCAAATTCAAGGCACATAGAATAAAAAGAAGACTCCAATAGTGCAATATGTACCAACTTTTTATCAAATATTGCTTAAACACTTAACTCTGGACTGCAAGTGACAGGTAATCAGGAGGCCAAAACACACAAACATTATACTAAGACACACAGACACACACACTTTAGCATCCTGCCTAGGGCCCTATGGCAACCTTAATCTGACTCTGCTGCCTCCGATCAGTTCGTCTGCAAATGCTTTGGAATTTGATTAAGCCCAAGAGGAGAGGCAGCATGACTGGCTTCATGAAAATACTATTTCTGTGTTAAACTGTTTGAAAACATTTTAACACTATAAGGTAAGATGGTGCCAGGGGACCTCAGGCACCATAACCATTTTATTGAGATAAAGTGGTTACGGTGCCTAGAGTGGGGTTCTTTATTTAATATGGGTAGACACAGTAGACTTCAAGAAATCTATAAACCAATCATATATAATAATAAATAATAATTTCTGTAGATGGCTAGAAGAATAAGAACTCAACGGGCAATTGCATTCGTATCAAATTATGCCAAAACAATCAAAACAATCGCCCAAAGAGCAATTTCCCCTTGTAATATTCAGCTACACAAATGTATGTATGTAAATGTATGTATGGAGGGGGCATTATACGAACGGCGTTCTGGAGATATGAACTACCAACTGGGGGGAGCATTCAACACTTGAAAGTATTTGGATGTTATGTGTGGTTTTCGTATAGAAACCCTCGAACTGAGAACGGCCGTTGCCACGATTTCGCGGCCAGCAGGATTTACTCGTGGATTGCCTGGAACCATTTTCGGCATGGCAATCACACGAACGCCCGGTCTCCATGGAAGTCCCGTCTGACCTATTTCCACTCACAGTATCAGAGTAGCGTTCGGGAGTTTCAATCAACCAAATGAGGGGAGCATTCACATGTAACCAGATACCGTATAACTGTGGTGGTTTTCGTGTAATTCTGCATGAACAGAGACCGGCTCTTGCTACCAATTTCATGGAACTCTAACTCGGATACAACCACATGGCGAGCCAGTCAAACTTCCACATGATGCGACACGAAAACTACCGAACTGATTTTCGTGCAATTTAGATATGTTACTCCCAGTATCGTTACCCCTGTGACCGGGTATCCGCCGCCGCCATCTCCTGCGGCCCCCGCCCACGCGGCAAACCGCCGGGGCCGCTGTCCAAGGGGTCCATCGGGTGGCCCATGCTGTCAGGGTCACCCGATGGATGTGGATTGTCAGGGGGCCCGGTAAGCGCAGGCACTTTAACAGCGCAACCGGGCCCCCTGTGATGACATCACAAGCTGGGAGGAAGTGACCGCACGTCACTCCTCCCAGCTAACACTGAGATGTGTATGTATGTATGTGTGTGTCTGCCTGTATGCTTGTCTGTTTGTATGTATGTATGTGCGTCTTGTGTGTGTCTGTCTGTATGTGTCTGCCTGTGTGTATGTGTGCCTGTCTGTTTTTTTATGTATGTGTCTTTGTACGTATGTGTGTCTATATGTGTGCGTGTCTGTGTGTCGGTCTGTATGTATGTGTCTGTGTGTGTCTGTCTGTATGTATATATGTGTGCCTGTCTGTTTGTATGTATGTGTCTGTATGTATCTGTCTGTATGTGTCTATGTATGTGTGTGTTTTTGTGTGTGTGTGTCTGTCGGGGAGGAATAGGGAGGGGGGGGCCCACGGATCATTTTCGCACTGGGGCCCCATAGTTGGTGTGTACGCCACTGAGAGGTGTGACTAGGGCTGTATAAACAAAATGATTTAACTCCTAAATGGTAAAGAATTGGGCAGACTGCAAGGATATAATCTATACACCAAAACGGCTTCATTAAGCTAAAGCTGTTTTGGTGCCTATGGTGTCCCTTTAAGTATTTCAGACCCAAATATAGTATGGAGTACCCTTTGTTTTTACCTATGCATTACTCCAAGCTCCATTTATATGTTTAGTTTGTTCTATGAATGACGGACAGCTTTTATTAGAAATTACTATCGGCTATCCTGTGAGATGTCATTACAAAATGTTACCGATAAATTATATTTATATATATATATATGATTATGCCCAGTGTTCTCTTGAGACATTTCCTAAGTTTTGTGTCAGACCGGGCTTGTTTTACCAATCTTTGTCTCAAATATGTTTGTATGTATACCTGTTAAGTATGAATATAAATAATCATTTTTAAAAATAAATATATATATATATCAATGAAGGCAGCACCCAGTAATGTGTGATGTCACATCACCACACACTGCGCATGCAGTGAGGAATTTACTTTGATTAAAAATGAATTTAATAAAGGGGGCAGGCCAGTGCCACAAATCGATTCATTTCTAAATACATTTATTTTAATTTAAATCCACACTCTCACCATCTGGGGACTTTGCAGAATTTGCAGACATCACCACTCGGGGTCCAATGGCTGGCGAGAAGGGAAAGGTGAGTTCTACTTACCTGAATCGGTCCCACGCAGGAACCGCCATCTGCTTCTGGCGAGATTTTTACTTGCGCATGCACAAGAGTAGAGCATTCATGTCTTTGAAGGATCCAGCGAGACCCTGCCTAGACAGAGCGCAGCCGTCAGACGTACTAAAAATAAGCAGGGGAAAAATACATACGATAAAGTAGTCCCCTATGAGTATTAATTGCTGTGGAGCTCTGTTATACGCCCAGCCACACCAACAATATGAGGCTCCTAGAAAAGAGGGACATTAGAATAGAAAAGGGGGACAGAGGGATTTGGGCACTGAATATGGACATTTCCAGTTATGATACATGTGATTATTATCTGATTATTATTCAAGATGTTAAATCCACCTGACTAATAAATAAATGTTCAAAATCTTACTTTGACAAACTAAGAAGATGCAGCTCTGGGAATGAGAGCAGTAGTTTCTGGGCAATGCTGTAACTCCTTACTAAATCCATGAAAGTATTGACAGTCAATCATTTCTGCACCTCTCAGGTTCCCGTAGTGACGTAATGCGTGGCTCGTCACCTGGCAACCCCTTTGGTTGCAACAGCAACCCTAGACAACACACAGTGATGCGCGGCCTTTACAGGCAGTTTTCCGATAAAATAGTTAGAGAACCGAGGAGCGAACGACGATGACCAGCTCGGAGGTCAGCGAGGAGCAGCTGCAGGAGCTGTATGCCTGGATAGACCAGGTACCTCTCAGCCGGACTAAGAGGAACATCACTCGGGACTTCAGCGATGGAGGTACCCGGAGCATGGACCGAGCAGCAACACACACTGTCATTGTGTTATTATATTGGCAGGGTGTCAGTGGTTATGGTGTCAGTGGTTATAGTGTGTGGGTCATGGTATTGGCAGGGTGTCAGTGGTTATAGTGTGTGGGTCATGGTATTGGCAGGGTGTCAGTGGTTATAGTGTGTGGGTCATGGTATTGGCAGGGTGTCAGTGGTTATAGTGTGTGGGTCATGGTATTGGCAGGGTGTCAGTGGTTATAGTGTGTGGGTCATTATATTGGCAGGGTGTCAGTGGTTATAGCGTGTGGGTCATTATATTGGCAGGGTGTCAGTGGTTATAGCGTGTGGGTCATGGTATTGGCAGGGTGTCAGTGGTTATAGTGTGTGGGTCATGGTATTGGCAGGGTGTCAGTGGTTATAGTGTGGGGGTGATGGTATGGGCAGGGTGTCAGTGGTTATAGTGTGTGGGTCATGGTATTGGCGGGGTGTCAGTGGTTATAGTGTGTGGGTCATGGTATGGGCAGGGTGTCAGTGGTTATAGCGTGCGGGTCATGGTATGGGCAGGGTGTCAGTGGTTATAGTGTGTGGGTCATGGTATTGGCGGGGTGTCAGTGGTTATAGCGTGTGGGTCATGGTATTGGCAGGGTGTCAGTGGTTATAGTGTGTGGGTCATGGTATTGGCAGGGTGTCAGTGGTTATAGTGTGTGGGTCATGGTATTGGCAGGGTGTCAGTGGTTATAGTGTGTGGGTCATTATATTGGCAGGGTGTCAGTGGTTATAGTGTGTGGGTCATGGTATTGGCAGAGTGTCAGTGGTTATAGTGTGTGGGTCATGGTATTGGCAGGGTGTCAGTGGTTATAGTGTGTGTGGGTCATGGTATTGGCAGAGTGTCAGTGGTTATAGCGTGCGGGTCATGGTATGGGCAGGGTGTCAGTGGTTATAGCGTGCGGGTCATGGTATTGGCAGGGTGTCAGTGGTTATAGTGTGTGTGGGTCATGGTATTGGCAGAGTGTCAGTGGTTATAGCGTGCGGGTCATGGTATGGGCAGGGTGTCAGTGGTTATAGCATGTGTGGGTCATGGTATTGGCAGGGTGTCAGTGGTTATAGCGTGCGGGTCATGATATTGGCAGGGTGTCAGTGGTTATAGCGTGTGGGTCATGGTATTGGCGGGGTGTCAGTGGTTATAGCGTGTGGGTCATGGTATTGGCGGGGTGTCAGTGGTTATAGCGTGCGGGTCATGGTATTGGCGGGGTGTCAGTGGTTATAGCGTCTGGGTCATGGTATTGGCAGGGTGTCAGTGGTTATAGCGTGTGGGTCATGGTATTGGCAGGGTGTCAGTGGTTATAGCGTGTGGGTCATGGTATTGGCAGGGTGTCAGTGGTTATAGTGTGTGTGGGTCATGGTATTGGCAGGGTGTCAGTGGTTATAGTGTGTGGGTCATGGTATTGGCAGGGTGTCTGTGGTTATAGTGTGTGGGTCATGGTATTGGCAGGGTGTCAGTGGTTATAGCGTGTGGGTCATGGTATTGGCAGGGTGTCTGTGGTTATAGCGTGTGGGTCATGGTATTGGCAGGGTGTCTGTGGTTATAGTGTGTGGGTCAATTTATTGGCAGGGTGTCTGTGGTTATAGCGTGTGGGTCATGGTATTGGCAGGGTGTCTGTGGTTATAGTGTGTGGGTCAATTTATTGGCAGGGTGTCTGTGGTTATAGTGTGTGGATCATTGTATTAGCAGGGTGTCTGTGGTTATAGTGTGAGGGTCATTGTATTAGCAGGGTGTCTGTGTTTATATATTGTAGATTAGACTAGCCGTATTAGTCCGGTAGACAAGATGCCAAAATACCAGAGTCTTGCAGTATGCAATTATACCTTTTTTATTGGACTAACCATAATATGTCAAAGACAAGCTTTTGAGAGGAAAACTTTCTAAAGCTTGTCTTTGAAATATTATGTTAGTCCAATAAAAAATGTATAATTGCATACTGCAATACTCTGGTATTTTGTGTGTGTGTGTGTGTGTGTGTGTGTGTATATGTATGTGGCCTATTGTATGAGACTTATGCTTTAAAAAGTTTCATATTTGAAGAGCAGCAACAGAAATGGACTTAAAAGTACATTATTTTCTTTATATATTGCAAAGATATATCATAAGTAAATAAAGCAGCTTAAAATTATTTAAAATTCATTGACTGTCTTACATTCTAGCTACCTTCACAATTAAGACATGTGGATCACAATACATATCAAATACATTATACATAAATAAAAAACTATAGATAATTCACTTCCCTGCTCAGATTTTTGTGATCAGGGAAGAGCTCTCTAATCTCTCTTCTACCCCTACCAATACTTGCCCCTACCCCACTCCCTTCTCTCTTCTATGCTCACTAGAAAACCAATATGCCATAAGAGGTCCCTGCTCTCCTCCCGTCACACCACCTGTTTCCCTCGCGCCTATTCCTTCACATCTCATTCGCACTCTGTCTCCTTCTCTTGCTCTGCCCCTCACTAAAATATTCAATCTCTCCCTCCCCTCTGGCACATTTCTTTTATCATTTAAGTATGTAACCGTAAGCCTGATTCTAAAAAAAAAAGCCCAACCTTTACCCTAACTCCCCATCCAACTACTGCCCCATCCCACTACTATGGTTTGCCTATAAGATCCTTAAAAAAGAGTTGCGTAAGCTACATTGACCGACTTCCTTGAATCCAACTCTCTGCTTGACCCGCGTCTGTCTGGATTCCGCGCTTGACATTCTGTTGAAACAGCCATGCTCAAAGTATCCAATTATTAAAATGCTGCTAAATCCAGTAGTTGCTACTCTCTACTAAATCTCCTTGACCATTCTGCTGCCTTGAACACTGTTGATCATCAACAACAGCTTCTCATCCTCCTTAATCTTGGTCTACGATACTCTGCTCTCTTCTGGTTCTCCTTCTCCTTCTGCTCTTTCAGTGTTTCTTTTTCTCGCTCTTCTTTGCAACCCTTCCCTGTCTGCGTTCCCCAAGGTTCTGTCCTTGGTCTCCTACTGTTCTCGACCTATACTGCCTCCCTTGTCAAACTCATCAGCTCCTTTGTCTTCCAATGTCACTCCTACACAGATAACACAGAAATCCATCTGTCCTCTCCTGATCTCTCTTTTGACCGGCCGTCCATGAGGTAGAAGCCCAAAGTAGTTCCAGGGGAATTGTGGCAACGGCCGGTCTCCGTTCACAGACTTCCATACAAAAACCACACATAATGAATGTTTTCAAGTGTCGAATTCTCCCCCCATTCAGTAGTTTGTATCTCCCGAACACCGTTCGTATGGGTGGTCGGGAACTAGAAACGGGGAGCAGTTCCGTCTTCTCCGGTGTTTGCGAGAGTGCCTATCCGAAATCAGTTCCAGGCACTCAATGACCAGGTACCGCTGCCTGCGTTCGGGAGACAAGATGGCCGACATCCATTATGTCGACCACGTGTGTTCGGCTGTACGAAATGGCGACCACCCAGGAGGGCATTCATTAGTTATTTACCTTGTGTTTTTGCACATGTTAATGGAGGGTTTTAAGGAAGAGATGAGTGCTTGCTGGGCTCCTATGGAGGGGTGAAGAAACAGACGGCAAGGGGAGTGATATAGTCTTTATTTATTTATAAAATATTTTACCAGGAAAGATATATTGAGATTTATCTCATTTTCAAGTATGTCCTGGGTCCACAAATCATTGCATTGTTACATTAGGGTACAATAAAATACAAAAGCAATATTAATACACATTAAATACAAAATTTAACATAGAACCGGTAGGAAATATATAATCAGCCATACGGTAGATTTATTGGTAGTGAACATCTAGGGTGACCCAAGTGAGTTGTTAAACCATTCTTTATACGGTTTGACAACTTACTCTGGGGGGGCACAAGGGCACTGGGCGAGTAGTGGTTATGGTGATTGGAGTGTTCCTTTAATGATATGTTTACCCTTGTTTTGGTTATGTAGAGTGAAAGATAGGAGTGGACACTTGTATGAGGTCCAAAGGCAGCTTTAATGGACATAATTTTGGCTCGCTTTTGTGCCAAAATGTTGTTGTAACCCTTCCAATGTACAGCTTTTAGACCTCATACAAGTGCTTACTCCTATCTTTTACTTCATATTTCTCAGCAGCATGGTCACCTGTGAGCTGGAGGCATGGTGGAGGTATCATTTATGTATGCCCTTCCATACTTACTAAAACTTTTTTGTTTTGCAGGCTCTGCTCTCCTAAACTGTGCATTAGTTTGAATTAAAGTTGAATTTTCTCAGGTGTCCTCTGACGAAAAACACCAGCGAAAATGCAACTTTAATTTAATTAATAAACATCTTACGCAAAGAGAAACTGTTATTGCTGATGGCAAACCAGACAGATACGTGCATGCAATGATTGTGAGTCAGTGGGTGTGACAGCATCTTGAAATTGTAGTGGAGTAGATGATTTTACCATAGAAGACATTTATTTTTAAGGGGGTTTCCAGCCATATTCCACTTCCAGGAGTATTTATAATTATATACTAGGAAGAATAATCAGTTAAGTAGATTTTGGTTCTCCTGTGGTTTGTTTTCCTGCAAGCTCAACATGTTGAATAACTACCTTTGCAAAATATGTATGTGAATTAATGAGAAGAAAAACAATATTTCTATATGTTTCATATTCTTGTGAATTACCCATCAAATATATCAGCCTGTTTGTTTCCTGTACCAACTACTACAACAATACAGAACTTAATGCAACATCATCCCCTGTCAATAATGTACTCCGTCTCTGTCACACCAACCTATTAAATGTACCGCTTTATACCTATCTCCCTCTCAGCACCCACTCCTATTCCCGAGCTGTCGGACCCTTTGTACTTCCCTGCTGTGGAACACATCTCGTGGGCTTAGCCAATATTGACACTTCACACATGGCCTGCTCCATCATCTCCTTCCATCATAGTAGTTCAGTTTTGGGTGTATATTCACCGCATCGTATACCAACTTGAATGGGGGCAGTTTAACTCCACATACTAGGACTAGGAATGACTGTTAAATAAATTCTGCTGTATGATGTCCACAATGGTTCTCATTATTTTGAGAACATTTCAGCCATTTTTGGGGGTTCCTGACAAATTTGACCAAACCTCCCCTACAATCTGTAAAATTTTCACCCCTATGATAGTCTATTTCATAGTAGAATATATTTGCCAGAATGTTGTTTTCATGTAGGTCTCCTGAGCTAACATGAACAGGGAGATCAAACATCCTCCGAGTGTGGGGGTGTTTACCAGTGAATACATTTGTCTCCCGTGTGGGCACATCCCATGGTGTAGCTTCCTCTAGCAGGAGCCATATTATGTATACTGTGCGTCTATGTAGTCAGAAATGTTGATTGGAGTTGGAAATGTATATTTTAAAATGTACAGAAACACGTTTTGACCTTTTGGTTAAAATATGGGTAATCAGACTTCTTGAAAGCTAAAAGCAAGGATGATCTAAGTGCAGGGTTATAGTCAGCATCAATTAAAGCGCTTTGTCATCCAAGGCATTTCACAAAAGTATAGGTCACAAGAAACACATAAAGAGAGAAAGACACACATAAATCAGTATGATTAAGAACACTTTACACTCTTGTGTAAAAGGAGTAATTTTAAAAGACATCTGTTAGGCTATTGACTATAAAATAGTCAGTTTCTCTTAATTGATTCTAGCAAAACCACCGATAAACAGGGTAAAATAGCTGATAAAGAAGCCCACCCATGGTACAGTATTCACAGTTGATATTTTAAAACATATATTTACAAATGGATTAGTGCTTTTGACAAAAGTTACCTAATGTAATTTTACAGAGAATAAAAAGGTATTTTTTTGTACATGCCAGATTGCTAGCATTCTATAGCTGTTTGTGAGCGTCCTTAGATGTGTGCTCTAACATTAGGAGCTAGGCTGGCTGTATGCACAGCTATACTCTCCCGCTATTGACACCATTTTGCAGGAGTAAGAAGACATCATCATAATTACATAGTTATCATCAGGTAACTTATCCTTTAATCTTTATATTTTGTGGAAATTTTCACCAGCACAGTTTATAAAATTAATCTATTAGAATGCAAGCTTGTCATTTACACAATTTACAGATAACATGTTTACTTTATGGTAACACACTTAGAACATTTCTTCCAAATCCAAAATAATATTGTAATTTTGATCATTTATTTGCAGAAGATGACAGCTGATCAAAATTAGAAAACAAAAACGAAAGATGCAGTGTTTTCAGTCCTTGATTAATGCAAAGAAAAAAGTTTATATTAATTAATATTTTGCTGTTTAAAAATTAACATAGGAAGTGTACAGAAATCAAAATATGGTGGAAGAATTCCTAGATTTTACTATTAACATGACGTAAAGTCATGATTTTATTAAAGACACGGAGGCTCCTATTAAGCTTCTCTTTCTTTAATTCTCCCTCAGCAGCGAAGAGAGATATATGCAAATGAGAGAAAAAATAACAATAACATTAGCATATGGAACAGTGCTCATAGGTATCCACCCCCTTAGTATATAAGGTGTAGCACTCCATGCTTCTTCCTCTTTCTTCCGTGATCCGAAGACCAGATCCATAACCGAACTGTAACTTGGCCCGAACAGGAACAGTGGGCGAAAGGTAATGTCCAATCCTTGAGGTTAGAATGTAACGCTTTGTAACGGAAAATCACCACTTTGACAGTATGATTCAGGCTAAAAGAGAGGAGAAAATATGGTAATATATGGTCGGCAACTGGTTGCATCATGTAACTTCATGTAGGTAAAAACTAAGTCGTATAACGTAGTAGTCATGTCGACATATCAAAAGGTAATATAAGATTATGTCTACTATATCACAAAGTCATCTACCTGAGAGACGTATGAGCGCACCTACAGGTATCTACATTGTAGGAGTCCACCTGATCTGTGGTTGGTATCCGTGAGAAAAAACCAATCCCTCCACCCAGGGAGGGTGGGAGGGAATAATACTCGCTTCCGTGTCTTTAATAAAATCATGACTTTACGTCATGTTAATAGTAAAATCTAGGAATTTTATTAAAGACACGGAGGCTCCTATTATGCTCTTTCAAAGCTGAGCAATGACTCTGTCCGAGAAATGTTGGATTGGTTTAAAATAGAAGTTCCAGAATGTGGATTCCGTAGACCAGTCTGCGGCCTTCAGGATGTCTTCTAACCGGCACCCTACTGTCGATGCTTTAGAAGCCATAGCGCCTCTGACCGAATGGGCCGAAAAAATTGTAACGTCTATCCCGGCCGAGGCCAATAACCATTTGGCCCAACGGGCGAGAGTAGGTGTGGATACTGGTAGGTGCGGTTTCTTTAGTGAAATGAACAAAGGGCCGTAGTTTGACGGTCTTAGGGAAGAAGTACGGGTTTCGTATTCTTTTAAGCATAGAATTGGGCACAGCTTCGGTTGGTGCGGGAGGTGTGGATAGAAAACTTGTTTAGTCGCTGATTTAGTTCTTCTTGAAATATCGAAAGACACCCCTTCTGGAGTGAATGAGCGGGCTAGCCAGTCCAAAGCCCTTACATCTGACACGCGTTTACAGGATAATAAACATAAAATCATGAGTAGTTTAGCGGACAGCTGTTTGATTGACAGTGCCGCGTTGTCGGGCCATTCCTCCAGGAATTTGAACACTATGTTGACATCCCAAAAGGATCCGTACCTGGGTTTTGGTGGCCGTGAAAAACGTATACCTTTGAGTAAGCGACATATCAGGGGGTTCTGACCGAGGGGAGTCCCGTCCACAGTATCATGACCTGCTGAGATAGCAGACCTGTAGATGTTGACTGTACGGAATGCCTTGCCCGATTCGAACAATTGAGTGAGGAAGTCCAGTACCGTCTTTACAGAAGCTGATATGGGATCCACTGATCTTTCCAGGCACCAATCGGACCAAGTTCTCCATGCCGTAGCATATGCGCGCCTTGTTCCCGGTGCCCAGGCGTTCGCCAAGAGTTGGGTAGTTGTTCCCGAAACTTCCGTGATTTCCCAGGGTCCCCGGAAAGGAGCCATGCCATGAGTCGGAGGATTCCCCGTTCTATCAAGTCGTGATTCTCCCCATCTGGGTTGGTTAACAGGGACGTTTGATCCGGTAGTAACCGTGGGAAGTCGATCGCCATTTCCAGAAGGTGAGGGAACCAGGGTTGGGATCTCCAGCACGGTGTTATCAAGACCAACGAGGTTCTGTAGCGTCGAATGTATGTTAGAGTCCGAGCAATCAGGTTGAACGGGGGAAAGGCGTATGCTCGTCCCCCGGTCCAGTCCTGAAGGAAAGCGTCTGTCGCCAAGGCTTCCGGGTCCGGTCGCCAGCTGAAGAATTGAGGAAGTTGAGTGTTCAGTCTGGACGCAAAGAGGTCCACACTCAAGGGCCCCCATAGTCGAGCTATCCTGGCGAAGACTTTTGGTTGAAGCTTCCAGTCCCCCAAATCCCTCAGATATCGGGAGTTCCAGTCCGCGGTGTAATTGTCCAGGCCCGGTATGTGTTCCGCGGTCACCGACACATTGTTTTGTAAACAGTAATGCCAGAAGTCTGGAGCTAAAACCGCTAGGATGCGTGACTTGGTACCTCCAAGATGGTTTATGTACCTGACTGCTGAGACGTTGTCTAACTTGAGGAGGATCGAGCATGAGGCGCCCTTGGGTGTGAGGCTGCGAATGGCAAATGAGGCCGCCAGTAGTTCCAGTGAGTTTATGTGTAGGAATGATTCGTCTACTGACCATCTGCCTCCTGTGGATATGGAGCCGCAGCGTGCGCCCCAGCCATGTAAGCTTGCATCCGACTCGATTATCATATCTGGAGTGGAACCGAAGATTGCCCGTCCATTCCATGCTTCCATGTGGGTCAGCCACCAGTCCAGTTCCTCCCTGGATTCTTCGTCCAGCGTGATGTTGGATTCGTATGACTGACCCTTCCTTAGGCAGGAAGCCTTTAGGCGTTGTAGCGCCCGATAGTGGAGCGGTCCCGGGAAGATCGCCTGTATAGAGGATGCTAGTAAGCCGATTACCCGAGCCAGTTGTCTTAGAGAAATGTCCGAACGGTTCATTATCCTCCTGATCTCCTTCTTGATGTTGGACATCTTTTCTGAAGGGAGGCACAGGATTTGTTGTACCGAATCGACTCTGAATCCTAGGAATTCCATCTGTTGAGAAGGTTGTAGCACCGATTTCTCCCAGTTCACTAGAAAACCGAGGTTCTGCAGGAGGTGAAGGGTCCACGACAGGTGTGACAGCAAAAGGGATCGTGTCCCAGACAGTATGAGGATATCGTCCAGATAGATAATGAGGCGAATCCCGTGTAATCTGAGAAATGCAACCACTGGTTTCAGCACTTTCGTAAAGCACCAGGGAGCGGAGGAGAGCCCGAAAGGGAGGCAACAGAAGCGCCATTTCTTTGTGCCCCACCGGAACTGTAGGAGATTCCTGTGTGTTGGTGCTATCGGGATCGTGAGATATGCATCTTGCAGATCGAGTTTCACCATCCAGTCTCCTGGGAGAAGGAGGTCTCGGAGGCAGTGTATGCCCTCCATTTTGAAATGCCGATATTGTATGAAGGCATTGAGGGGTCTCAGGTTGATAACTGGGCGGACACCCCCGCCTTTCTTCGGCACCAAGAACAGGTTGCTTATAAAACCTGGGGTATCTAGAGGGATTTCCTCTATGGCATTTTTGTTGTACAAGGTTTCTATCTCCGTGGAGATGAGGTCGTAGTGAGACTGAGGCATGTGTGGCACACGCGGGAGGGAAACCTGAAAGGGAAGACCCGTCAATTCTAGTTGGTAACCCTCTACAGTCTGCAGTACCCAACTGTCGGACGTGATAGTGGCCCACGTTTGAGAAAACAAAGCCAGTCTGCCCCCCACATTTATATGGGAAAAATGGGGAAAAATCGTACTCACCATAAGGGCGTTTTCCTGGGGTTGTTCCTCTGCCGCCACGGGCATTCCAAGATCTTCCTCGAGAAGGGAAGAACGGGGTGTAGGAACGTTCCTGGGTCTGTCTCTGTGTGTTGGAGGAGCCTCTGCCCGGTCTGGAGAAACCCCGGGGGTTGCGGCCGGATAGACGGCTCCTACCTCTACCGGCCCCACCGAAAACCTTTTGGTGGAATACCCTCTTCATGGATGATTGGGCTTTATCCAGCGCCGTGAATGTTTTGACATAGGAGCCCAGGTCTTTGACGAAGGATTCGCCAAACAAGAGACCCTTAGCCGCGGCCCCTGGTTCAGAGGAGGCCATACTAGCCAGTTTGGGTTCGATTTTCAGCAGGATGGCCTTCCTGCGTTCTGTTGACATGGCAGTATTGGCATTGCCGATCATGCAGACCAAGCGTTGGAGCCATCCAAACGCTACTTCAAAGTCTACTGGAGCCTCACCCGACTGAGCTGCTTCCAGCAGTTCGTATAATTTAGTGACAGGACCCAGAGTGTCTAGGAACTTGTCCTGACAATTACGGAGGGAGTAGTCCAGTCCCCTCTTGGCCTTCCAGCCTGTTTTGGCTAGAAACTGGGCTATCTGAGGGTCCACTTCTGGGGTTTTTGCCACAGCATCAGGGATTATGGGTCGGGGGCACTCCGCTCTCAATTTATTACGGCTCTCTTGAGAAAGGGACTTACGTACCCTGAGGGCTAGGTATCGGGCGATGTGTTCAGATGGTTCCCACTCGGCAGAGCGTGGGTGTCTTAAGTTGTCAGGGTCGAATAGCATGACCTCTTTAGGGTCACGGGCTGCTTCTGCCTCGGGCGTCCCTGCATGAGCAGTGGTACGCGTTGCCGTCAAGGGGAACTGCTTTCCCTGGAGGCTTTCACCCTCTGAGAGCTCGTCCTCGTACGGGTCAGAGTACGGGGCGTCAGACCCCTCATCCCCCTCCTCGTCTGAGTCAGACAGTATATCATGGGCTCTAGCCCTTTTCCAGTCTCTGGTAGCCGTAGCTCGCCCAGAAGCTCTATTGCGCGGTTGTTGCGCGCCATCATGGACAGCCTGAGGCATGTCAGTCAGAGCAGGGTCAACCTGCATGGGGGGGGGGTCTTGTGAATGTCTGCGTTTGGTTAACGCTTTGTGGCCTGGCAGCCTCCCTTCAGGAGGGGTATGGGTCAAGGCAGGGGTAGGGTGAGGTTGTACCTGTTTAAGCGCTTGCGTGATGGAGTCCGAGATGGTAGAGGACATCGCGCCCATGGCTGAAGATATGGCCTTGGAAATAGATTTGGACATGGTGGTGTCCAGAAGGGATTGGAATTCCTCAGAGCCCATGAGCCCAGGGTCGAGCTGAGGATCAGGATCAGTAGTGGCCATAGAGGGGCTATGTTTGCCAGGGCATTTGTCACCAGATTGCATGGTAAGTAAATAGAGTGCAAGTGAGAAAATAACAAATAGAAAATAGAGTGAAAATGCAGAGTACTAGGATTGATTAACCCAGGTACAGGATGGAAAAGTACAGGGAGATGGAAGGTTAATACCAGGAATATATATGCAGAGAAAAATCAAACTGTACTAGTATGAGGGGTTGCCGGAACGAAATCCGGTGAGGGAGGGGTCAAACGGCACGAAAAACGAGTAGAGAATATGGCCGCCGCCTAAACCGGCGACCAGAAACCAAGAAAATGGCCACCGCGAGCTACCGCGCATGCGCGGCGGGAAACTAAGGGAAAGTGAATCGCCGCGCGGACGAAAGTAGGTCCGGCCGGCGGTGATGCAAATAGTGCCGGGAAATGCCGCGGGTTTCCCGATGGGTCCCCCTGGCGAAATAACCGGCAGAGTGTGACCGGGGAGGGAGCCCCAACCGGAGGGAGGGGGCTGGACGAGGGAAATTGTATGAATACTTAGTTAACAGGGAGGGACCGGCCACAGCAGAATAAACACAGTAGAATAAACACAGGCAGTGTAAGAAAAATAAGTGGGAAAAACAGAGAAAAGGAGGGATAAACTGTCTAAGGAGTATCCCCACAGTAATACCACAAAGATATAAATCTAATAGCTATAAATCTCTGAAACATCCCACAGTGTACACATACAAATGAAATTATGAGAGTGTACTTATCTTCTGAGGGAGCAGCGAAGAAAGAGAAAGAAGCATGGAGTGCTACACCTTATATACTAAGGGGGTGGATACCTATGAGCACTGTTCCATATGCTAATGTTATTGTTATTTTTTCTCTCATTTGCATATATCTCTCTTCGCTGCTGAGGGAGAATTAAAGAAAGAGAAGCTTAATAGGAGCCTCCGTGTCTTTAATAAAATTTTGATTTTCAATCACCGCTTTTATGCATCTTGGCATACTCTCCACCAGTCTTGCATATTGCTATTAAGTGACTTTAAGCCACTCTTGGCCAAAGAAAAATCCAGCAGCTCGGCTTTGTTCGATGACTTGTGACCATCCATCCTCTTATTACATTCTAGAGTTTTTCAGTGGGGTTGTGGCAGTTGTGTATCCTGGTTTTGTGCTGCCCTAGGCATGACAAAACTCAGGCACCCCCGCCCTGCCTTCTAAATAGTAACACACACACACACACACACACACACACTAACAGACACACACACTCTTAACAGACACACACAAACACTGAAACACACATACACATTCACATTTAAAAAAAAAAAAAAAATTCAATCCCCCCAGCCTCCTTTGGGAGTGCTGGGGTGGATTCTCGCTTTCCATGGGATCCAGTGGGGCTGCTGGGCGGCCGGTCGGTCACTGCAGTCAGTGAGGGAGCACTAATGTTCCTGTTCAGCTCCCTCGCGCGCTGGGTAGTGATGTCATATTCCGGCTCTGGCATCACTGCGGTGCACATGAGGGAGCTGAACAGGAGGATCAGTGCTCCCTCGCTGCCCGGAAAGTGCCGCCGCTGCCAGCCTTGGGGGGCCCCGAGGTGGCCAGAGGGCCAGCTCCTGCGCCCCCTGGGACAAGAGGCTGGCAAGGCATTTGCCAGGGCGATTGGGGGCGGCTTTTTTGCAAATGCCTTGTCAGCCTCGCGGTAAAAACACCCCTGGGTTGTGGTCTGGAGATCAGGCTTGCTATGACAGTACCTTAATCTGGTGGTCCTCAATCCACCTGGCTGTGTGGCATAGAAAAAAAAATGGAAAAAACAATCCTCAGAGTTGAGGAACATTGTCATAGCAAAGGAAGCATTTTTTTTTTCCCCAGACAACCTTGTACAGTTGCAATCAAAATTATTTAACTCCCATTTGAAAACTATTGTCAACATTTACAGACTCTCAGCTGTTTGCAATGAAGTAGTCATGAAAAATTCTACAGTGGCCATAACAGTCATCTGACTTGAACCTGATAGAAAATCTGTGGTAGGATTTGAAGAAGGACGTTGCAGCACGCAAACCCAAGAATATTACTGAACTGGAGGCCATTGCTCCGCTAAGGGCTAAGATTCTTCAAGAGGGCTGCCAGAATCTGGTGTCTGGCTATGCACCTTGTTTTCAGCATTTCATAATAGCAAAAGGGGTCGCTACAAAGCACTAAAGATGCTTGCCATGAAGAGGTTGAATAATTCTGAGACTGGAAAAGGTCATTATAAGTTGCATATTTTATTTTTGTAAATCTGTTTTATTGAGTCAGTGGACCTGTGAGAGATTGTCCCCCACGCTACACCGTCAGATCTTTTCTTCGTGTGTATGGGTGGCGTCTCAGAGTGTAAGCGGGTCACACTATCCTCTGTCTGTGTTTTGTGACAAGTGTTTATGAAGCAAAGATCCTGCGTTGCGTTGAGTAGTGGCTCCAGGGACATAGCGAACAGTAGCGGGGACAGGGGGCATCCCTGCCTGGTGCCGTTGGCGATGCCAAATCTAGTGGTTAAAGCTCCATTAACTCGTGCCGCTGCACGGGGTGCGTTGTACAGAGCAGAGATCTAGTTCAGGACTCTCTCTCCCAAGCCCATATTCTGGAGTGTCTGCATCATGTATGCCCAGTTGACCCAGTCAAACGCCTTCTCGGCGTCTCTGATATTTCCGCGCGTAGTGTACTATCCCTTGCTTCCTGGCCCGGGATGAAACTGGTTTGGTCCGTGTGGATTAGGCTCGATAGCACGCGCTGTAGTCTGGTCGCCAACACTTTTGTAAAAAGTTTTGTGTCCACGTTCAATAAAGAGATTGGATGATAACTGCCGCAGTGTTCCGGGTCTTTCCCGGGCTTGAGCAAGACTGTAATGGTCGCCGTCAGGAATTCTGTTCCAAAGCGTCGAGACAGGAACTGTGTGTTGTGTTAAGTCAGTTATAAGTTGCATATTAAGTTAAATATTGGGAAACCACTTGAAGTATTCACGGTGTTGAGCTATTTCAATTGTTTTTGTTTGATTTGTTCAATGCAAATGGCAGAAAGTCTGAGAATTTTGACAATAAACCTGATTTTCAATGGAGGTTGAATAATTTTCATTATAATTGTATATGGCTTGATTAATTCATCCATCACAAAGATGAATCTTCCCAATTTTCATCCTTGCTGAATCACCCCCAGATCATCACTGATCCTCCACCAAATTTCACAGTGGGTGTGAGACATTGTGGACTATAGGCCTCTCCAGATCTTTGTATAACTGTTAGATGACCAGGTACTAGGCAAATCTGAAAATTGGACTAATGAAAGAAGAGGACCTTACTCCAGTCCATTCAGTATGGTATTCAGCCAGACTCTTCTTTGCTTTGCTTATTTTCTAGATTTGCACAACTTCAGCCCTGCACCCAGGAGCCTGTCTTGAACGCTCCTCACCATGCACTTCACCCCAGCTGCCATTTGCCATTCTTTAGTTTTTGTCGTTTTCACCCTCTGCCTGTCTGTAGCTTTGTTGGCCCCAATGTCTCCCGCTTGACCTTGGTTTCATTAAAGTTTTAAGCATGGAATTAACCTGATGCTCACTGTATACCTCTAGCAGTAAAGACACAACTGAACCCTTCTATTCCTCACTCAAAACCTTTTTCAATTCTTTGTCATAGTCAATAGATATTTATTCCAGTTACTTTTAGATGCTACTAGTATTATTTTTGCCATCCGGCTTATCATATAGCAAGAAGATAGTGCTGGCCACGGCAGTGTTCTTTATACTTTTCCACATTAAATAAGATTTGGTTCAGGTGATCCCTAGTCAGTACCTCATTACGTAGAATGATGTGTACCTGTATTAGAATTCAACAGACACTGTTACGACTGCTATAAATGTAGAGATGCTAGTTGTTCTATTTTTTTTTTTTTTTAAATTGGGGTACTCCATAAACTCAGATTGAAATGGTTAAAATCAGTAACACACCTTTTTTTTCAGCTCCAGAGAGTCTTATCTCTGTACTTCTGACCCTGCTACAAGTCATCATTCGTGATGACATCTGTCCAATCAGGTGATTCTCACAAGGATGCATAATGCTTCTTACAAACTAAAGCAAGAAACGCGGGAAACCCAAAACAGACAGCTAGCAGGTGTTACTAAGGGAATTACCCCAAAAATATATATATTTTTTAAATTGGTACATTTTATAAAAAGAAACCTGGAGGGATATGCAGTTGAAACTTAAGGTACTTCATCATGCTGAAGTGTTTTAGGGTATTAGGTGTCCCCTAAGAGGTGTCACATTGTCCATTTCATGCTTGTAGGATGAACTAGACGTTCCCTACTTAATGGAACACTATGCGCTAGGGATCGACCAATATAATTTTTCCAGAACCGATATGGATACAGATTATCAGTAGCCTTTCAGGCCAATTGACAAGAACTGGTGCCGATATTCTGTACATTCAAAGTTTTTAAAAAGTAAGAATATCTTCCCAAATCTGGCATTAACTGAATATGCTAACCTCAATCACACTCCTATCATTGTAAGCCAGCATAGTACATTACAATAGATTTATCATGGTCTTACCTTCCTTCTTCACAGATTGGATGACTGGTAGAGGTGAAGAAGTTATCTGTAATATTGGTAAATTACAAGGCCAATACCAATTATTGGCAAAATGCTGAATATCCCTACTCTAAGCATCAAAACATTTTGTAGCTTAATGAAGCAGTTTTGGTGTATAGGTCATGCTCCTGATGTCTCACTCAATATTCTGCCATTTAGTAGTTAAATCACTTTGTTTATGCAGCACTAGCCACACCTCCCTAGGCTGTGACTCACCGTGTCTACCTACACACTTCCTTAATCCATACTGTGACGGAACGCTGGCACTCCGACTGAGTACCTCCGCCAATCGATGCTCCTAGTGCTCGCTGAGGACTCCAAGCACTCCAACCGACACCATCAGCACTGCAGACCCCACTTCCAGCGATGCAACTGCGCCGGGGTCTCTGCTGTTTCCACCCACCCTGGACCCAAGGCCAGGATCCAGCTTCCAGTGGGTGAACCTCTCTTTCCCCAGAGAGCAGGAACAGGAACAAATCAAGCTATTGCAAGAGCTTCCTCTGGGGAGTAAGTGATTATAGCAATCCCCAGAGTGTAGGTATCCCTTCCCCCAAACATGAGCCAAGGCTTAATGCTGGAACAAGACTGATTTACTGGCCCACAGAACTCACAATTTTTGCAACACAAAACTCCTCCTCTGGGCCAGGCTAGATAATTGAGTTTCTACAATACACAAAGCTCAATTATCTGCTGGCCAGAAATAATACAGTTTCATAAAACACACAGGGACCCCAAAACATGCAATAACCCCATAAAAAGTATATCCTTGGAACCGGGGGATCTGGGTGAACCACATATCCAAAATTCACCCAGATCCGTTCAGTACTTTGGAAAATACAGTTTAATGCAGATTCTGCAGAACATATACAGGCTAAATGAAAAACAATCACTGTATAATGTGTCCCCTGCTGTATAGTCCAAAACCACTGCACGATGTCTCTGTGCACCAAATACTGGCGAGATGGCACCGTGTTGAAAAGTCCAAACAGTGTCTGGGAGTTAAAATGGCCGCCATCCATTGTTCTCACCATGTGTTTCTGATACAGGAAATGGTGGCCACCCAGTAACTCCACAGTATGTCCCCAGATGGTTCTTAAAGGGCCAGCAGCAGCACAACACAAATCCATTATGCCCAAATCATGTCTTTAAAGGGCAATACATCCCAGGGGCCATAGTAACAGGGCAAGAGGCGGGCAAGCAGTCCTCTCCAGGCACAAGTGGCGAATGGCACTTCGTCACACATACATTGATATTATGAATGACTTTTTAATGAAACGGGGCTCTTACAAATGAAGTTCCAGCTGGTGTGTTTGATAAGGTGCAGTGTTTCACGTGCTGTCATAACAACCAGGATGCCTAGTCAGAGTCCTGTGGAAGCTCTCTCGCTTCAGTAAAAATGCCCTGATATAGCTTAGCTCAGCCACAAGCTTATTAATAAATATTAAGCCACTCACATCGTTCTTTGAGGACACTAGATAAAACAAGCCAAGATATCAGAAGAACCTGAGACTCTTTAGCTATCTTTAGGACTATTAGAAGGTAGGTTTTAGTCTATGTCATGTAGCTATGACTGTTGATGGTTAGATTTGTTGATATAAAAAACAAAAAAAACAACAACATCCTATGGATCCACATTGCAGAGTAATATAAAAAGTGATATTTCATCTAGGAGGAATTTGTCATAGTAAATTGTTTAAATAGATCAGCTTACTTTTTTTGCAGTTTATTCTATGACTCATTCTCAGATCTCTTGGTGAGACATTTTGCTGCAGTGAAACTCGTACAGCTTTTGTTTTGTCTTTGAATGTGTCCTATAGAGTTTAAACATAACTGGATATTGCTAATAATTTGTATTGTAGCATTCTTGTATTTCAATGCCGATAACTTACTGTAAATCTGATGTAGCTGCATGATTAAATGATGACCACCATTACAGCTGTAACTGCGGCTGGTTCCCTTATTTACCACTATAACATCTTAAAGCGTAGAACTTAGCAGGGCTAACCATACAGATATCTTAGCCATAATTTTATATAGTTAGTGTAAGAGATCCTCTATTTAACATATATAAATAATTGCGAATACAATATAAAATAAGGATTGTCTTGGAAGCAATAAAGTTTTGTCTTTTTAGATATTTATTACATAAAAATATAAATATAGACATATAAAATCCATATAGCAGTTAGAGTTTATAAGATTAAACTAAATGCTTGCAAATATCATTAATAGGTGAGTCCAGACAGCGTCTGTCTCCAAGTCTCTCCTCAGATTTAACTTTTAAAAAGTACACCTATTTATACCTTAGGTGTCTCCATTTTAGGGTCACCGTAGTTCAAATATGAAAAAGTTACTTTTTTACTTTTTTCATTTTAGGACCTCCCGTACCTTGGCAAAAATACAAGGCCATAACTAAAGGGTGTACACGTCATGGAAATTTTCCTGACTTATTTCAAGATGGCATCTTAAAGTCTGAACATTATCTACTAAGGTTACCACAGTATATTACGTACTGAAAGAGTCGTAGCATAGCCTTAAAACTTGTTTATGCATTATTGTTATTGTAATTCGTCTGGGACAAAATGGCACAAACATATTATGCACTGAGGTTATTTCTTAAAGAAACATCTATGAAAAACATTTTTTTCAATTTTTATCACCTTGTCAGTTTGCAATATCTCTTAAAGACAAAGTACACAGTTTAAGAAATACAACATGTCATTCTAAAACTTGTAATATTTGCATTTGCCCATAACACAGCTCAGCAAAAGTTTCAATTTTTTTTTTTTTTTTTCCTGCTCATGACTCACAATGTAAACCTTGGGATGTGATGGATATGCAAACTCTAAGGATTTTTTTTCTTCAAAATGCTGATTTTGTCTCCTCAGTATTGGTTGCAGAGGTCGTGAAACATTTTCTCCCTAAGATCGTGGAAATGCATAACTACATCCCAGCAAACTCAACACAACAGAAGCTCAGCAACTGGGGAATTTTAAACCGGTAATAGTCTCACATTCTTGGTGAAGCATAAAATACATATTATATGAAAGGGCCATATATTCTATAGAATGGCTACAGTTTATCAAGACAATATACAATACAGAATAAAAAATAAATAAAAAAAATCTCAATTTCAATTTGTATACTTATGTATTCAATATAACCGTACTTTGTTAGAATTTTTACTCTTCTATGCTTTGCCTGAACATATCTAGTCATTATCAAGAATGCTTAGGAATAGTATTCAAATATGTTTCCATTCCTCCCTTTACCTAAAATTTGAATAAATGTACTGTCCAAACGCAACACCTTGGGTTTTGTTTATCAAACCAACAAGGGAATTTAACATTTTAATAAAGTGTTTATTATATGCGATTTCATGTATTGTAATAGTATTAAAAAAGGACTCCTGTCCTAAATTAGTCCAGGACAGACTAAGCAAGGAAGTTCCAATCCTTAAAGGGAAATTATAGGATAGGAATACAAACTCCCTACATGGCCCCCCTTCGCTCGCGCGACATCCCTGCAGCACAGAACCCTTTTGTGGCTTAGAGGAATCCAGCACCAATGTCCCTCGGCACTGGGTAAGGCTCCGCTTTGGCCCCTCTTTTGGTAATGCATTTAGACAGTCTATACAATGCTTTGTGGTTCTGGGTGACGCTGGATATATGCGTAAGGATGTCCAAGATCAGTTAGGCGACCAAAAGTCGGCTAACGACCTGGAAGTCCTGCTAGTGGCTGTCTTGTAGATAGCCATTAGAGGTGGTGTTAACTCTGGATAGTAATTATTGCAGTTTCTCAGAAACTGCAATAATTACTGTTGCAGGGTTAAGGGAACTGGGACAGTACACCCAGATTACTTCAATGAGCTGAACTGGTCTGGGTGCCTAGAGTGTCCCTTTTCAATCAACGGAAAACACATGAGCCAGGCTCCACAGGGCATGGCAACCAAAAGCACTTCAGAATTTTTTAATTTTTTAATTTTTTTAAAATCATGCCATACATGTGCCTCCTTCAGTAGTGCCATACGTATGCATGTAACCACATGTGCGGCAGTTCGGAGGTACATGTAACTTACATGTCATGTCTAACATGCAATATAAATAAATATTAAAAAGTATTTGTAAAATACAAGCACAATCCATAGTTAACCTTTAATTGTGCAGAAATATATCTAATGACAGGTCAGTTTCGACTACATAATGTTATTAGGAACAATTACGAAGATGGCATCTACTTCCTAAAGGCCAAACATCCATTTTGTCCATGTTAATTCCTTTATAATATTAAATATAACTCAGTCAGTTCAGTATCTGTTTTGCAAATTGTGCCTGCATTTACTAGTAACAAAATGAACAATCCAACCTTTATTTTATTATGGAGAATCTAGTAGTTTCAATATATAGGAAATAATACGGGTAAGCAGGAAAATCCTTGAATTAGTATGGTAAAAAAATATAAGAAAATCCACTGCTCAGCTTTTGATGAAAAAATTAAATAAAAAGATTATACGTTAAGATTATACATTGAAAAAGACTTTCCAGTAGATTGAAAGGGAAATATTGGATTTAAATAAAAAAAAAAAAAACTCATAGGAAAGATCATAATGTGTATATTATATCTAATTATATGTGGTATCTGAAAACATGATCTGCCCATTGAAGTAACAGATGTATAATATATACACACACGTCCAGCTATACAGATAGTGCCACACCCTATTATTTTTTATCTCACTACCCCTTTGACTAAATATAATAAAAGAAGAATACTAAAATACTGTTAATCCAATAAAAGGTATCTCCAGATATTAAGATTCAGTAGTACTCTATTATTTTGTACAGAAGTTAAGAGATTGTCATCAGTCTCCAGAAAACCCAAGATGGAATTAATTTTCTTTGACATAGGCTTTAACATGTTGTATCTTTTTAAATAATCTAAAAATAAATTTCAAGTATTAAAACCTTAAACCTCACTTTGGGAAGTACTTTACTAATTTCATAACTTGTGTACATTAGCCAAATCTAAAAATAAACCTTGAAAAATGAGAGACCTTAAACATATCACTCCCGAAATAGGAAGCAAAGAGACGTTCAATTTAAATGGTGCCTCCTAAGGGTATGGTTGACGAAAATGTGAAACCTTTTGTATCAAGCAAATATTCTCCTCATCCTAATGACCAATTTGCAGGATTGGCTTGGTAACTGCTTTCATAGTTTTGCAAGATAAAACATGATAAAAATTAATGTGCTGCCTATCTAATTGTATTTGTTCTAGACCATACCAATTAAGATTTCCAAATAATTTTTTCCCCATACGCACGGCCATAATTAAATTTGTGTAGACAGTCATGTCACTTAGAATAGCAGACTTACAATTAGTGTTACAAATGCTGAAGTAGCTCAGCCCTGCATCAGACATAGAATATTTATTTGTCAGTGCATCTCATACGGATGCTTAGGTAGTCGAAGCCCCAGCAGAAACCGTCATTGATGGATTTAGAACAAGCTGCAGTGCATTTGTCTCTAATGTCCATGCCGTAGATATATTCCCATGCTAGCAGAGGAGCAGCTATAGGTAAATCACTTGGTCTTGGACAGCCTGGAATTGAGACATAAAAAAGGATAAACACTTCTTAACTGCTTACCTTTGCATCCATTAACTGCAACCAAGACTTCATGAGTGGCGTCATAACCAGCATCAGAACAGCAATAAAAAGCAGCACTGGATTGAATTTCTTTTTTTAATACCAACCCTTGGTAACAGCTCAGTGTACATATGCAGGGGGAGGAAGGGGAGGAGAGAAGGAGAAACCGGGGGCGGGCCCTGATCGCTAAACTGGATGGACGTGGAGCACTTCGGCTCCTTGACAGGTCTTCAATAATAAGCAAATACTTACCCTTTTAACCCTTGATATTGCCACAAGCAGATGCCAACCTGCAAGGGGAACCCAAGGAACATTCTCCCGTGTATATGTCGGCTCCTGTCCTGCTTGCAGTACCGACTGGTGGGCGGATGAGTCTGTGGCCTGCTGTGAGGCTCTCGCGGGAGAAACGGCCGATCTCCCGTGCTTGGTCCAGCGGGACTTCTCTTTTGCCAACCCAAGGCCCAGTACTCCTCTCTCCTCCTCCCCCCGTGGGCTAGTGGGGGTTATCCCAGTCCCCACCTAGGACGCAGAACACACTCACTTGTTCTGGGCAGTGGAGTGACCAGCCTGACCAGGCGGCTGTGTACCTCCCTGGAGGCATCGGACGACCTGTACACCAGACTCTGGCAATACTCCAATGAGTACAGCGCAGTTTCATCATTCCCCCTGACTGCCGGGTTATACTGGAAAGTGACAGCTCGCTGCCTGGGCTGAGAGCCATTTCAGAGCACCGTCCACACACTCGGGGGTTCCACCATCCACAAGTATTGGCAGATCTGTGGGGACTCTATTGGAACTCTGACCCCAGCCTACACTTGTGGGGTTAATGGACATGGGGCGCAGGCTCCCACGGTGGCCAGGGGTTGGAGTAAGCAGAAATGCGGGAAAAGTGATACACTCCTAGCTGACAACTCAAGCACTCAGCGTGTCTCAGAGAGCAGTTTCGGGAGCAACTATTTTGCTGCTTGCCACACAAGTCCAAGTCTACAGCAGACTACTGTATAATTTTAATTTTGATTTCTTAATGCTATTAATTTTGCATTTTACTCGCTAAGGTCACTCAAATTTACACTGCCCCTTGGTGGTTATACTATGCCACGTATTTGCAAGTTAGCATGTTTATTCACACATACCAGGTTTGCAGTCCTGTACACTTAGGCAGTTATATAGGCTGTAAGCCACTAGATTTGCCACATAAAATCTGCTTCAGCTCACCTATCTATCCACTAGACAGGACTGCCAGGCTTGTTTCATTTTCTTATTACTCTTATTTGTCTTCTTTTATATCCTCATTCAAAATGTGCATGATTACTGTATATGCCATACCAATGCTACATCTTGTACGCTAATATTATGCTTGCTTCAGCCATTGTGGAATCGCAAGCCTGTTTTGTAAAACTTTGCATAGCAAAAATAAAGAATAATAAAAAATAAAAAAATAAATACATTTGAAAAAATATTTCTGCAACATGAAGTAGTGCTCTCAGTACTTCACAATAGGATAGAAACAGCTTTATTTTAAGCAAACATGTGTAAGAGCATACATTCAACATTTCTACCTCATTCACTTGACGCCTGGTAACAGGGCTTAAACATTGACACGTTAATTTTAAAATAAAGAACTTATGTTTAGTACTATGAGTGCACATTGTTCTCAATGGAAATATTACAGGGCTGGAGTTTGACACCAGGGCAAGCAAGACTAGCTTTAAAAATTGCAAAATGAATGCAGAAAATAGTAGCGCTGTGATGATGCTGGAGTTTAAAACTGTTTTTTTAAAGGGGGCGGGTCTGGACATCCGACCATGACGGTCGCATGATTCTGGAGCTCCTCAGCAGAATTACCTCAAGGAGTCTAAAACTCGACACTACAACCTCAATTTTGGGATTCAACCCTGCATGCAACCCCGGGGAGTACCCTAGCGACTATCAATTACCGGTCTGACCGAGCCTGGTGTGGCGGAACCAACCTCGCCACTGTCCACTGGAGAGGCCTGGTTGCTCGCCTGCTTCCTTTAGACTATGGTCCTGCATTTTAAACTTTTATTTTACCGGCAGAAAGGTTTATTCGTGCCTTTCTGCGGACTGTTAAAGCCATGCTACCCCAGATAGCTATGCCATGGAGCCCAGCCGTATACTGAAAGACTGTATAAAAGACTTTGGCTCCATGGCGATTGAACTGTATGTATGTGATCTGAGCGCCATTCGGTAGTAATGTGCGCTCAGATTTAAGCTATCTGGGGATATGTAGAATGTCTATGTTTTATGGAATAAATGTAACTGTATGTAATTTTATGCCTTTTATTGTATTGTTACTGCCATGTTGTAATGGAGTTTTGCCTCTGTCCTGGGAGATAAGTGGATTACTTCCCAATTATCTCCAGGACAGAGAGGAGGGATTTTGATGTAATTGTGGTTGTGTTTTACAGTTCTCTTGTAAACGACTGGTTGTACTGTGTCCCACCCTGTGGGATGTCCCCTTGCATGGGTACTTGCATAAAAGCCAGTGTGTGGCCATTACAGACAGTTCCTGCTTAACCCTCAAAGTGAAGTGTCGTCTCATTATTGGGGGAGGATTTATTGTAGGCTGTTCCAGTTTGACTGCTAGGAGTGTAAACCTATTTGCATGGTTTTTCCTATTCGGCTGTTTTCAGTATTCGTGTGTTTGCAGTTCGGGAGAGTGGTGATTGCAGTAGCTGTCTGTGCATCTGAAAAAAGGGGAATATTGCCTAAACGTTTTTTTTTTAACCTCTTGTGGGCAAAACGGTCCGTTACACCTGGTACTCAAGATGGTCACCCTGTTGGGGCCACCCTCGCTCAAGGACCCACTACTCTTGAACTTCGACTGTATCTGTGCAAGATTCTGGGCCAATCTTTATGGAAGGGAACTTACCTCTACTCCTGTGAACCCAGTTGAGCCCCTTGAAGTCTGCCGTAAAGCCCAACGCAGCATGAACGGGTCTCTCCCAAGTCTTCCTGGATTGGTGCGGAGGAGGAGGCGGCGCAAGAGGCCGCCAGGGCGGCAACGGTCAGTACCTCACCATGCTGGCTTCCACACTTGCTACAACGAGTCCCAATACTGGGAAAGCAACCATGTGAGTTCTCAACACAATCATCTGGCCCTGAAAGTAAAAAAAAACAAAAACAAAAAAAAAAAAAGTGGCAAATGAAATACATGCCACATATCCAAGCTGGCCCAGTCAGTGGGACAATATAATATTAGCTTGGTATGGGTCCTAACCAAGGATTAAACCATTACCTGAAATTGGTGAGTGGTAATGAGAGTCCCTCCAAGGTTTTCCAACCTTGTTTGTATAAATGGAGTTAATAATGTTTTCTCTGTATGATGTCTAGCACCAGCAGAGTGCAAATAGCTGAAACTAACAGATTAAGATATACATCAACGCTATGGTGGCCTTTCTTAAAACCATGATAACATGATTAAAAGTACCTGAGTTTAGTACTTTTTACCCATAAAATGTTAAGTATTGCTAGCCATATTTTTATAAAAAAGAGGACATTTATGATATCACACACAGAGGTAGATTTATTTTAATTATCAGAGAAGCATGACAACTATGGATTAATGGTTGATGACAATTCCTGTAATGATAGTCTACTCATTATTTCACAGGAAGGTATTCTCTAAGCTAAACTTTCATGTCCCGGAGGACATTGTCCGTAGGCTGATCTCCAATGCCCCAGGAGTGATTGAGTCAGTCTTGTATTCTCTGAGGCAGAAGATCAATGAAAAACTGCAAGAGAACTCCCAAAGACAAAGAGGCACAACTCAAGTCAAGGTTTGTTAAATGTTATATAGAATTATATATAAATATATAAACACACACATAAACAAATGTACTCATATACACACAACCAATTTTTTTATTTTTTGGGTTTTTGTTACCTGGCTTTTTTTTTTATTTTTTTTTTTAATTCTTTATTTTTTCTGTGCATGGAAATAACAAGCATGTGTAATGTGCCACAACAGCACGCATATTATGTGTATCAATATTCACAATTTGGCACTATAGTACTGCACATTTTTTTTTTGTTGTTGTTGTTAACAGTTAGGTACAAGCCATATACATTTATAAGCATAGGTTGATTGTCATTGTGATAGTGTATTGGGAGAGTAGCTTAATGCATGTTAGGTGTAGCCTGTTGTGTATGAGTGAATGGCATGTGTGTGGCCTGGCTGCCGTGGGTGAATCATGCTATGCCCCAGTGACAGGCTGCGTAGATGCGAGGAGGCATGTGGGGATATTGTGTGTGCTAAATGAAAAATATACTTCAGCTATCGATTAGGTATAACGTATGCCTGTATGGTTTGTGGATATATCAGGCGAGGTACATATTTCTAATACCAGGCATATGTGCTTGTATCATGAGAAGTGCTAAGCAGAACATAAATAAGGAGCATGGCTAACGAGCAAGAGCAAAGTAAATCGGTCAAGCAGTGCATATTACATTAGCAAGCTGAGGTAATAATAGACATAGGAACGGTGCATTAGTTGTAGCCTGTACAGTGGGATTATGCTTTATCACCGCTCACGGGCTTGTAGGAGCATATTCCGTCTCCGGTGCAGTCCATCTTGATTAGCCAATGCCAGTTCTGGAGGCTTGACAGGTGGGCCAGGTACATTGGTAGAGTTGGTGCCACGGCTCTGCTCTGTCACCCGTAGGTCTTGGAGGGTCTCTCCGCCCGTGTCTGTCGCTGGTAGGGTGATGTGCTGCATTGCGGTGAGCCACTCGGCTGATAGTATAAGTTGCGCTTCGTTGGTCGAATGATTCTGGTGCCGCTGAGTGGTGAGTAGGTCGGGCAGGCTTGGTGGTCTCGCTCTGGTGTGTGTGAGGGCGAGTGCTGGAGTCTGGGGGGTATGACGCCATTTCCCGCCATTCCAGTCTCCAACCTTTTCTCTGTCTGGAGGCTCGGGGTGGGTATCTGCATAGGAAGCGTCGGGTAGCCGGGCGAATCCATGCCGCCATTTCCCTCAACACCAGGTGGTAGTGCTGGCCCTTGGTGCGGAATTTTGTCCCTATGTTGGCACAGAGCCTGTCAAAGAACTCCAGGGTGTGCTTGGGTGGTGTGGTGAGGGTGCTGTTTGTCGCCAGACGGGTCCGTGCCACCATCTTGCTTGGGCCCCCGCAGTCCCTCTCGGCTGCAGGTTTAGTCGCTTGTTTGAGCCGCGTTGTTGGGGTAGTCGACCCCCGCGAGGACCGGGATAACCCCCGCCGGTCCAGATGGGGGGGGTAGCAGGGCAGTGTTCGATTGCCGTTTCTGAGCAGGTCCCGTGCCGGGAGATCGGCCGCTTCCCCCAGGCCTCAGGCTCCCCTCTGGTGTGGGCCGCGTGGCCGGTTCAGGTGCTTGTTTCATGTTTCGGTGCAGGACGGGTACCTTTCTATTCCCCGTGTGGTCCTGTTTCGTTTTTTGGGTGTCTAGTGTAGCTGGCATTGTTTGGGTAGTCAGGATAGTCGTTTTTGTGCCTGCTGGTGCAAGAGCCCTCAGTAAGCACGTCTGGCCATCTTGGCTGTCAGGCCCCGCCCCGTTACCTGGCTTTTTAACCTCCACTCTAAAGAAATCCGAGAGGGGGCGATCATACCACCAGAGCCGATACCACAGAGCAGTAAGCCTGCTCTATGTTGTGCAAGTATATTTTATATATCTTTTTACAAATGTTGTCTAATTTTTATAAAATTGCACATGCTTGGTGCATGTGGACATATGACTTATTTTAGAGCATAACACTGCGGGGTGTGGGCTAAGCCCCACATTTCAGTTGTAAATGTGACATTCTTTTTGAATAGAATTTATCTATTTATAATGCCAGCAAAGGGCTGAAAACTTCCAGCTTGCGGACAAGTACAAACAAATGTCCCTTTTGATATTGAAAAATCTCACATCTTCCCAACCCACCCAATCCAACGTATAATTCAGTCAATGTCAGGTCAACACAACTCACTATTTCCTGTATGAATCTATAATAGATGTGGGTAAAGTATTTTTAATTAAGTATTTTTTTAAATGGATACACAAACAATATCAATACACTTAACTTTGTTTTGTGGGGAACTGACTAAACTGATCTAATATTTTTATATAACATTCCCAGCATATAACAATCTAATATGATAAGATATAGGGGCCCAGACACATCCCGGTAGCACATATTGTCAGTAGTACACTTGATCCAACATTGATGTCTGGTATCAGATGCCCAGTCAATTATCTATTGGTCCCATATCACATTTGGATTCTAGTGTATTCAGTGCCTTTGCAAGGCATAGAATGCCTCGTAAAATAATCCAGGAGCCATGAATCCTAAAACTTGTTTTGTCTATGGGAAGTAACACACAAACAAAATAAATGCAGCAGAATATGACAAAATGTGATAGTGCTATTCTAGAGTTCTGCTTATACTGGAAACCTATTTGTATTTTTATTTGTAATCTGTTCATTAACAGGATTGTGCAGCAGGGGACTGCGATTTTCCCTACAGCAGGGGACTGGGGTATTTAAAAAATATAATGATCTGAAATTCTGTTCCAGAATAGGTTGTTTTGTAAGTTTCTTCAGAAATGCTTAAAAAGCATCCAGAGATGCTTTTGTGGAAAAACAGAATATTCAAAGACATCATGGTTAATGTGTGTGGTAACAGCTTGTTGATCCAAGGAAAAATCTGACTACCATTTCAGATTCAGGAAAGAATGATTTTCCTTTATATGGCACAAATGGAAATTACTTCAAAATTAGTTTTTGTGCTTTCTCTTGGATCAGCAGCAGAAACCGAGGGGTCCGGATGGCTGAATTTGATGGATTTGTGATTTTTTTTGTTTTTTCAAAGCAGATTATTGGGTCATGAATGTGTGTTATGTAGTGTTGCAGATAGAAGCAGTTGACCATTGCCCGAATACAGTAACCATATTCGAAACAAATTTTATTGGGTATTATTATAGATTAAAACCAAAAGGTACTTGTACCCAATCTTTCTACTTTTTTCCCTTAATGATGGCTTAGAAAATATATTTTTCTTATCCCACAAATTAATATTAGACATATCCAGCTAAGAAAAGTTTAATTTCATGGTTTATGTTGTATGTAAAATGTGGAGGTAACAGAATTCACACAATGGTTTTCTTTTCAGGAGTCGGAATACTACAGCACGAAAACCGGCCAACCAACTGGTAAGTATAAAAATAAAAAGGACTTTCCTGATTCTAACATGTTACATGATCCAGTGCATCATTTGCAAACACATTCACACATCTTTTGAAGAGAAGGACGTGATGCAAGTCACTGATGCTAAATATACCCAGGTCATATTCAATACAGCACACTAACAGTGTAGTAGTGCTTTGCAGCATAGTCCTCTAGTTTTTTTTAACCTTTCTAGTGTTACTCTTTATTCTGCTCTCCTTGACCTGGCTGGACCTATTATACCGTGTTTCAAAGGCATCCAAACCTGGACTAGTTTCATATTGACTCATTGTAAGGAGTTCCTTAAAGGGACACTTTAGGCACCATAAGTACTTCAACTGACTAAAGTGGTTATGGTGCATGGAGTGAACATCAATGATTTGTTTTAATCAATTATTTGCTTTCCCTTTAGCTGAGATGCTTGGTCTCCAGCAGACTGCAGCCTGGCCCCCTATGATGGTGACATTCTGATATCCATCACGCAAGTTGTTTCTTCCAACAAGTTATAAGCTATAAAAGGGCTAAAAATGTAAGGCCCACATTTCAGGCTTTCCCTTCTCCACCTTGTCTTCCCTCCCTGGCTCTATTGTTTGATAATTTGCAATTCCCTCCAAAATCACAGCTTGCCTTTCTTCCCTCTTTAGACCTTCTTTCCTCTCGGAGTACTTCGATTTTTTGAATTGGGCTGTCCGACAACCCCTGGAGTTTTTGGTGGGTCTGCGCATCCACACCTACCAAACTGCTCACTCGTTAGTATATTAGTTAGCTAAAAGTTAGGGAATGCGGTTCCCACATCCATAAATGGTGGGACTGCCCCGGGATCTGCAGTTTTGGCAGACTTTTCGTGTGGTTGCTTCCCGACTGGTTGACTGCCCATTCTCTTTTGATAAGGAGACCTATCTTCTGTACCGTACCTCACTTCCTGGAAAGTCTTACTGGAAATTAGTAATGAATCACTTGATTAATGCTGCTCACAGTCTTGTACCACTTACTGGAAGCAGAAAGATGAGCCCTCTCTATGAGATTGGATCCTCAGGGTGGAAGATAGCTGCTCTTGTAAAGAGATTATTGTCATGGCTGTAGACAAATACCAACACTACACTAATATGTGGTTTTATTGGTTACATTGGCTCTCCGAACGGTCTGTAGGATGGGGGAGTGGGCGACCTGGGACAATGATTCCCCTAATCTTGGTTTGTATATACAATTTGCCCCTGTGGGTACTTGGGCTTTTCCTGGATCTGGTTTTCATTGCTTAAATCTTCCAAATTTCCCACTTTTCTTTCTTATTTTACCCCATACCTTGCAATACCCTGCCTCTCATTCTCTTACTCCTTCCTCTTACTTTCCCTCTTTCTACATGTCTTGTGCTTGCCTTTTCTCGTCTACTATTAGATCCTCTTAGTTTGCAGTTACTTACCTGGGCTGGCTGATGTGGACTCTCTCTTGTTACTACCAGCTTTTTGTAGTCACGAGGTATTTAGTTTCCTGGTCCAAAGTGTTCCTAGAAATGCATCTGGTCCTTTGCGACTTAGTTCGCTTATTTTTATGTTCTTTGGTTCTCTCTCTCTCATATTATATATATATTTATATTCAAGGCCAATACAAACTATTGTTTGGAAATCTATTCATAATCAGGACTATATATTGGACGTGATATCACGCATTTAGACTGGAAGAAATTAGATTTTGTTTTTACAGTCAGAACAATAACCATAAGAACATTAAGACTTGTTTTATCACAGTAACTGGATAAATACCTTCAAAAACAATGTTCGGGGATATAATTTTTAATTTGTGTGGTAATTTTTTTTCCCCCTAGTTTGTTGAAAAATGTGAAAGTGCTGCAAACTGAGTTTTTTTTTTTTTTTTTGCCTTCTTTTGAATCACCACAAAAACAGATGTGAGAAATGCTGAACTTGATGGACAAATGTCTCTTCAACTATATAACTATTTAAATATGTATATAGTCTACGGTCTTTTGGCACTTTATCCAATGGTCTGCACTGACATTTATGCTTGTATCTATGTAATACATTTTTCTCTTTCAATAAAGACTGCATGGTAAATAATTAAACACAAAATAAAATTCAGGTCGAGTGCACTAGGCAGGCTTAAAAGTTCTCACCACGGAAATCCTGGAGGGTCCATGGTACACTCACCATGGGTGAATTTCTACTTGCCAGGACTGAATTTGCACTTGCTAATGACTAGTGCGCCAGTGGGAATTTTGAGCCCTGAGCCATGGCATTTTGGTTAATTTGGGAACCACTTATGACAAATATGATGCAGTTTACAGATTACCACTATCAGACAAGTGTGTTTCCACAATCTATACAATCACAGTGTACACACAGGATCCACACAAAGTGAATTACACTATGCTGCACAAAACCTTCGTAAAAAAAGCCATTGTAATTTAAATGTATCTTCTGTGCACGGTTACGCTTACTTTTTAGGATATCTCACAGCAGGTTTAAAACACCACCAATCTCCACACATAGTTGGGAGGAAGTTAATCAACATAATAGAATAGCACACTTTTAACTTAAGCTATGACAAATGGTAAAACAATGTGCATTATTCAAAGGCTTAATTAATTAATTCAATCAATCTGCATGACAATGGGCAGGTAAAAAACATTGCTATAGTAACAACAGTGTTCACACATTAATGGGTTAATCGAATTAGCAATAATCCAGCAAGCTGTAAAATATGAAATGTAGGTGACAAATGTAGCATTTGATGTACTAACAGAAAATAAAATTAGTTGTGATTTTGTGAATCATGTGAAATTTTTCATGTACTGCTGTCAGACTTCTGTCTAATGTCGGTAGCTATTTGGTCTCAAGCAGGGAAATAGAGGCTTGCATTTTCCAGGAAAAATGCGTCTTCCTCCCAATATTTCTGTAAAGTTTTCATACCTGGGATACCTAAGTGATCACTCCTTCTAAAGAGAAGATACATGCTAAAACCTACACAAACATGCGTGAGTAATGTATGCATGTGCTGTCATGAAGATATAACATCACTAGTCACCGATGGACCAGCATCAGGAATTCAGCCCAGTTCTTTGTCTGTGTAATTCTATCAAATTCCACAAACATTATGTTGTCCTGCATATCAAGTATTATTCTACTGATCTGTGAATTGGACAGTGCAATCTATCAATTAGTGATTATCGTCTTTCTAATGCAATAGCTAAATCCAAAGCAGTTTGAGATTGCTTTGAGAATCACTGCTTTCTTTATTATTATACGTGCCAAGGTAATTTGTTTTCCAAAGTTTTAGCTACCAAATTATCTTTTTTTTCCTTCTTTTTAAAAAAAATTCTTTATTTTTATTGTGCATGGGATTGCAGCAGTGCTTGCATAGCGACAACAGCTTCCACAAGCGCAATAGTATTTGAACATAGGTACGTTATGCGTTAAACTTGCACATTTTTACATTTAGTGGTTTGTATAATGGGATTGTGTTAAAGAATCTCCAGTGGGAGATTTGCATTGTGTTTATAGATTTTACATGTTAGTCAGGTATGCCTAGATTGGGTGGGTGCAGGGACGGACTGACAGCCATTTGGGCCCCCGGTATCTAATACATATATATTGAAGGCCAATATATATGTATTAGATACATTTTAAATATAAGTTTCATTTAATGTTGGGTATTACCTTTGTTGCTTATAATGTTGATTATGAATGCATGTTTGCATTTGAGCATTTAAAATCATCGTCAATGGACATTTTTGCATATTGTACTATTATGGATGCGTATGTTTTTGTAGAATGCCAACATGTGTGACTTCAAAAACATATTTGAGTGTATGTGTCAGTGGAGGGATAATTTGTTTTACCACAAGAATATTAATGCATGATTGTATTTATATGCAATTCCAAAGTATTATTGTGTGCGTCAAAGTAATGATCATTTTGTGTAATGCTGATATGTGTAAAACCCAAAGAATATTTTGTGTAGTGCCAGTGAAAATAAAATGCAGGAGGTTTTTTTTTTGCATGCAGTGTACATGTATGATGGGGCAGGCAGTGTTCTATTAGAATGCAGAACAGATGTGTGAATGCAGAGATTTATTTATTGGAATTAAATGCAGGAGTGTATTATTATGGAATTTTGTTGTGTGAATACAGGAGTATGTGTGTTTTAAGTATCAGTGTGTAGGAGTGTATTTGTATCTATAGGCCAGTAAGCCTTACTTCAGTAGTGGGGAAAGTGATGGAAACCATGTTAAAGGATCGGATTGTTGAACATCTAAAAACACATGGATTTCAAGATCAGAGACAACATGGGTTTACTTCAGAAAGATCATGCAAAACTAATCTTATTGATTTTTTTTGATTGGGTAACTAAAATTATAGATCAGGGTGGTGCAGTAGACATTGCTTACCTAGATTTCAGTAAGGCTTTTGACACTGTTGCAAATAGAAGGCTTATCAATTGTAACGATGGCTTACCTGTCTCCTTCGGACCCACGCCGCGCGGCGATCTCCCTGGCTGCTTCCGGAAGGCGGAGCAGCCTGTCCGACGCTGGCCGCTCGCGGCAAAGCCCCTCTTATGACCTGGCGAAAACTCAAACGTTGCCACGCTCCCGGACTTTTTGGGGGCGTGGTCTTAAAGCTGAACACCACTCACTATATAAGGGCGCCCCTGTCCTTTCCCCAGCGCCCTAGTGTGGTTCTATATTTGGTTCCTCTAGTGCTATTCATACTCCGGTTTGTCTTTCTGGTACTTTTGACCCCTGGCTTCCTCTCTGACTACTCTCCTCTCTGGTTTCCCCGAATTTTGGCTTGGTATTCTCATTTATTCCGTCTTCTGTGCTCCATTGACCTTCGGCTATCCTTTTGACTATTCTCAGACGTTAAGCCCGGCCACTCTAAGGACCGGTATACGTCTCCTTTTGGGTTACGCTCTGCGTGAAGGGGTCACTGTCGTGACATCAATAAACTGCAATCTTTAAGTTTGGATTCCAATATTGTTGAATGGGTAAGGCAGTGGCTGAGTGACAGGCAACAGAGGGTTGTAGTCAAAGCTTGGACTTGTCACCAGTGGGGTACCTCAGGGATCTGTACTTGGACCCATTCTCTTTAATATTTTTATTAGTGATATTGCAGATGGTCTTGATGGTAAGGTATGTCTTTTTGCTGATGATACTAAGATATGTAACAGGGTTGATGTTCCAGGAGGGATAAGCCAAATGACAAATGATTTAGGTAAACTAGAAAAATGGTCAGAATTGTGGCAACTGACATTTAATGTGGATAAGTGCAAGATAATGCATCTTGGACGTAAAAACCCAAGGGCAGAGTACAGAATATTTGATAGAGTCCTAACCTCAACATATGAGGAAAGGGATTTAGGGGTGATTATTTCTAATGACTTAAAGGTAGGCAGACAATGTAATAGAGCAGCAGAAAATGCTAGCAGAATGCTTGGTTGTATAGGGAGAGGTATTAGCAGTAGAAAGAGGGAAGTGCTCATGCCATTGTACAGAACACTGGTGAGACCTCACTTGGAGTATTGTACACAGTACTGGAGACCGTATCTTCAGAAGGATATTGATACCTTAGAGAGGGTTCAGAGAAGGGCTACTAAACTGGTTCATGGATTGCGGGATAAAACTTACCAGGAAAGGTTAAAGGATCTTAACATGTATAGCTTGGAGGAAAGACGAGACAGGGGGGATATGATAGAAACATTTAAATATATAAAGGGAATCAACACAGTAAAGGAGGAGACTATATTTAAAAGAAGAAGAACTACCACAACAAGAGGACATAGTCTTAAATTAGAGGGACAAAGGTTTAAAAATAATATCAGGAAGTATTACTTTACTGAGAGGGTAGTGGATGCGTGGAATAGCCTTCCAGCTGAAGTGGTAGAGGTTAACCCAGTAAAGGAGTTTAAGCATGCGTGGGATAGGCATAAGGCTATCCTAACTATGAGATAAGGCCAGGGACTAATTAAAGTATTTAGAAAATTGGACAGACTAGATGGGCCGAATGGTTCTTATCTGCCGTCACATTCTGTGTTTCTATGTTTCTATGTGTGCAGTGCTTGTGTCTATGTAAAGGAAGGGATATAAAATGCATTTGTGTTGAAGAAGTTGTGTGTGTAAATGAAGGAGACGGCTGGTGTGTGAATGTCTGTCTGTATTAATGTGGACAGTCTGTGTATTGATGCAGGGATAGAGTGTTTGTGTGTGAATATGAGCAGTTATATAATATACACACAGATATACACAGTATGACACACAGAGTCAGATAATATACACACATAACATTTAGTGACACACACACAGATAATTTACACAGATATACACAGTGTGACACACACACAGTCAGATAATATACACATATATACACAGTCATAATATACACACAGATATACATACAGTGACACACAGTCAGATAATATACACAGTATGACACACACAGATCATATACACACAGATATACATACAGTGACACACACAGATCACATACACACAGATATACATACAGTGACACACACAATCAGATTATATACACACAGATATACATACAGTGACATACACAATCAGATGATATACACAATGTGACACACACAGCCAGATGCACATAGAAACATATACACACAAATAAATTACTATACCACATTCTTAGCCAACCTCATGTCCCCAAACCTTTTTGGTGTAGGAGAAGGATGGCTTCTCTGGGTCCAGTGGGGGGCTGGAGCTTGCTGGGGATGATAGGAATCGTCTGCCAGGTGCTTCCATCTTCCAATCCTCCACTTAAGGCTCTCTATGCAATGGGAGGAAGTGAAGTGTAATGACTTCCTCCCAATTCAGCTGCCGCGCAGGGGAACTGAGGAAAGGGGCCCAGTCTGATGTGCAGATACAGTGCTCGACCGGGCCCCTGGTGGGAGGAGTTTGAAAAGGGTATAGCAATAGGTTGCAGGCTCTACACCAGCAGAGGCCTGCAAATAACACTAGAATTATGTCAGGTCAGATCAGGAGATCTTCCGATCTCCCAATCTAGACCATATCAGTGCATCTGGGCCCCTGACTGCCTCAGGCCCTCGGTCCATGACCGATGTGCCCCAGTGGTCAGTCCGTCCCTGGGTGGGTGTGTAGTGTTGTTTTGTCTGATAGTGTCTAGGCGGGTGCTGAGGGGGTTTAAGCTGTTTGTCAGCTTATGTTTGGTTGGTGGAAGCTGAGCGGCCCCTGTATAGGCGCTACGTAGTGGTTCCATAGGGGGTATGGATCATTCCTTAGGGGTTTGGAGGAGTTGTGCGTATGGATTTGCTATGTGTGGAGCGCTACGTACATCTGGCTGAGCAGGCTCATACACAGCCAACTGTTAGGGATTGTGATAGTAGGGTAGCTTATTGTGTGCCTGGTGGGTTAGTAATTCCCGTACCTGTCGGCTAGCATAGACCCCGCTGTGTCGGGGGTGGGGGGGGGAGGTGTGGGTGCTTGGGCCCCTTGCAGTGGTTCGCCCTCATCTGAGAGGAGTGTTAGTGGGGGGTTGTAGGGAGTGGGTGCCATCTCGGTTCTTTTAATATTTTTAGCCCAGTTTTGGGGCGTTCAAAGCTGGCTGTTGTGTGCCTTAAAAACATATACATGAACTGAAAATGTTAAACGTTAAACACATTATAAAACATATTGTTGTTTCAGGGTGAATTATGCTCAGTCCTGCCAGGGTTCAGATTCCCGGATGTGGTGGCTCTTGGTGTGAACGTGGTTGTGGTCGTTGGGTCCCATGTGTTGGGTGGCTTGTCTCGAGGTGCGCTTACGGTCTGGCCTTCTATGCCTAATGCCTAATGATGTAAGGAAGGTGGGTATGTCTGCTCCAGATTTTAGTGTGCGAACAGTCCCGTTGTGTGTAGCTATCAGAGTTCCAGGGGGCCCCATCTGTATACCACCCCTGTGGACCTAAGTTGGGAAGTGACCGGTGCTAGTGATTTGCGCCATAGCAGTGTTGCTCATGTTAAGTCCTGGTAAAAGGTTAGAGAGGCGCCTTCAAAGGACAGCAGTGTTTTATCCTTCAGGGCCATCATAATGTGGGCTTTATCTTGCGAAGTGGAGCAGCGGAGTATGACGTCCCGTATTTGGCCAGGTTTTGCCGTGGGTGAGCCTGGTATTCTGTGTGCTCCTTCAATGGATAGTTTCCTGGCCATTGGGTGGGGTAGAATGGTCGCCAGCAGTCGCCTGGTGTAGTGTGGTAGCTCGTCTGCTGTGATGTTGGCGGGGACGCCCCTTATCTTGATGTGGTTGCGGCGTTGTCTGTCTTTGAAGGCCGTCATCCTGAGGGACAGGGCTGATTGATGGACCTGTAGTTGGGTGACTGTGTCTTTAAGTGTCTTCAGGTATGAGGGCTGCTGTGCATCCGTGGGAGTTTTGGCCTGTGCCGGTCTTTCCAGCATGGAACTGATGACTCTGCCCTCCGCCGCCGTATTCGGTTTTTGGGACCAACGTCCCATTGCTGGCATCAGGGTTTGTCGCAGAGGCGAGGGGTCCGACCCGTACAGGCTGATTCCTGCGTTTCGATTTTGCCAGGAGATCGCCCAGGCTGTAGATTTGTAGTGCACGGTAGGCCCCAGGCCTGCGTTTTTTTTCCGCAAAACAAATTAATTTCCAGAATTCCACTCTGCAGGAAAACATACTTAATGCTTTTACTCTAAAACCTTTAGTTATTGCAAATAATCTGCTGAACAGATAAACAAAATATATAAATAAATGGTAATGCAAGTTGTATGCAGTTTTAAGGTGCTATGCAATGAAGACAGGATGACAGAGGTCATTTGAGTGTATTGTGTTGAGCTGGACTGTAAGCAAAAATCAAAATTCAGTGACTGCAAAGTTCATCCAAGTTGATGCTCCACAGATCTTGATTCAATGTAATGTCCTTAGACAGCTAAACTTGGCTAAACTTGGTTTATGGAAGTTTGCTATGTGTCCACAGACCCTGTAGAGTTCAGCTGACAGACAGTTTCTTCTGCTTTGGAATCAGCCTACAATCTGAGTATTTTCACCACAAGACAGAGATGGAACGACTGTCAGAACACTGCTCTGTAGCCTGGGATAGAGAAAGGCTTGTAACCCTTGGCAGCGGAGTCTATATCTGGCTTACGGAGTCAGGCACATATTATAATTGCTGTTCAACATCAAAGCCATTCTGTGTTCTACTAAGAGAGCAGCAGCATTATTCTGTCAATAGCCAACCAGCTAGATGACCTTGAGAAAGCACATTAATGTAATGCTGTTCCATTTCTCTCTCACGGCACCAGTACACAACTCATTGGGATGAGTTTACAGATAATACTAGATGGGTTTTGGGAAGGGTTTTTAAGTGATGATACATCCAGGGGATAAAAAGCCTATCTTGGTTTCCCACAGTCGTGGTCCAAAACCCCATTATTAATGCACTTCGGTCAAGTTGATCTTCAGAGAATTAGACCCAAAGTGGGTATATTATTTCTTTACAGTACTTTCCACTGAAGAACAGTTTGTCTTAATTAACTCTTTCATTTAAAATTTTTATTACAGAAGAAGTATATTCCTTTTCATTTTTTTTTTTTTTTAATTGCCTCACAAAAACTAAACTTTTTTTTTTTTTTCAGGCCCTGATGCACTTTTGTCTCCTACACATTCAAAGGCTTTCCCAGGATATACGGACCAGTCCCAGAACCACACAAAACGGTAATCTCTCACAAATGACAGATACAAAAATATCTGCTAGCCTGGCAGTACAGGGTTAAAGGTTGGATATTTGGAACTTTTTTAATTTAAGTTTGTTAAATTTGTTGACCTCATGAACAAGAGGTAGATGCTCTAAGTGTTCTAATGCATAGCAGAACCTAAAGGGCACAGCCTGTGACCATATTCTCACTGCCTCCCCCCAAAACATGTGACTATGCAGCACAGGAAGTTGAGGTCATGAATACCAGGATTTACTTTGCTTTTCTTAGCTTTCTTTCCCAGGGGCTATAGGTCTTACCCTCTGCAATGTTCAAGAACCATATTTATTTTCCTTACGGACAGAAAATATACTAAACTGCAGTTTTTTAGGTCATTGACAAACCGGGTTAAATAACTTTTCATAATGTTTATGTTAATTAGCTATAGTTACAGGCTGTTCATTACTGTGATGGTTAATTAACTGTAGTTTTCGTAGATCACCATGACATTTCTGATAGGCGATAACTGAAAATCTTCACTGATACATCATGGGATTATCACAAGAATCTTGTGTTAAAAAGGCTTAATTGGACAAAATATGCTACTGAAAAAGAGCTTATATTATTGACATGTTACTGTGAAACTCAAACTTAGCTGGACTAGATACAAAAATATAGTCCAGGAATAGTTGACGGAATAACTTAGATCAGCAGTGTCATTGGTATTTAACCAATGTGCCTTAAGTCTGATCGGCATCACAGGCTGCCAGGGTTCAGTGTAACTGTGGAGGAACCATGACATATAGACTGGATGAAACATGGAGATAAATACTTAAGAGCACATTTTTAGGAATGAAGAAGAGTCAGAGATTCGTGCAAATTTAATGGGCAATGCATATGGTTAGTCTTTTTTCTAAATATATCACTGTGTTTATAGATTTATTCACTAAACATGGAACTGGAGAATTAGGTAAGAATAGCTAAATTTGAGAATTGTTCCAACTTTTTGACTACACCATAATCCAGAATTCAATAGTAAATGGTTTGCATTACATACTGTATATCTCCAGGAATTCTGTACATTTAAAAGTGAACGTGTTATTTATAAGTCATCAATGAAAAGTAAAATAGTACATAGTTACATAGCTGAAATGAGACATGGTTCAATGCATCTCTGTGAGGAGATGCCGATTGCACAGCACCGTGGCACAAGATTGATTATCTCAGCCGTGGAGGTGGAGCCAGGCGTGGCAAGACATGGCGAGACCTGCGCAGTGTGGGGAAAAAAGGTGAGTAAAACCACCTTTCCCATAATCTATCCAGTGGTGTCCTTAGATTGAGGGAGCTCTTTAAGAGCTTTTCTGGTTGCCATAAATATCATACTCAGAGGTTGCAAAGTTAATTCAAGAGATAGAATCTACTCCCCGTGATGCTCAACTACACACAAGATGAAGGAGAGGGTCTTAGAAATATCAAAACAAATCAACATAGGAATACCCTGACTTCAAGGCGCTGTTTTTCCATGATTTTGCTGTCTGGCCATGACTCTTGGAGAACAGATGAGATGGAGAGTAGTAATACCATGAAAACACCACCATGTCATGCAGTCTTCCTCATTATGCTGCTTACATATGTGAATGGACTGTTACCTCAATTCCCAGGAAATAATACGGTGAGAAGTCATTACATTGCAGAATTGCATTTGTTTTCTTATGTAAAGCTAATAAGAATCTACAATTCTTTATGTAAGAAGGAGATTTTACCATGAAGTCCAGGACATACTTAAAAAATGCAAAAGAAATCTCAATATATTCTTCCTGGTTAAAGTTGTAAATAAAGCCACATGATTCCCTTCTTTTTTAGTTACATTATCATTTTTTTAAATTCTCTTGGTTATCAAAAATCTGTTTTATAATGAGAAACAGAAGAAAATCATTCACCATAGCACAAGAACTTTTTTTGTAACTTAATCACTTCGTCAGACCGCAGCCTGTTCCGTAATCTGCAAAGAGAGAGAAAACAGCAGTATTTTTCGCTTCCCGACCTCGATTGCTCTGTAGCCCTCATGTTGTTTAGTCAGCAAAGCATCTTATTCAGAGGTCAAACCCAAGTGCACAGACAAAGAGATTTATAATACAGAGACAGGGGTGAGGGGATAGTTGTATGTATCAGATGATTTGTGCTGTCCATTAGTAAAGATATGCTTTTGGTCTTGCTCCCTTTTTTAAAGGACTAGAAAAATCGAGCTACTCCCAAAAAGATTGTTGTCTCAAAGTTGATCCAAAACAAAATAAACATAAAAATGCATTATTAAAAAAGCACGGAAATCGGTTATTTCACATTTTCTACACTGTTCCGATATGGCTACTCAAAACAGAAGTTGTAAACTGGGCCATTTAAACCACTGTATTATTCTAATTCTATCAAACAATTACTGCAATTACAAACAATTTACCGTACTGCAGAGGAATTTGTTGGAGTAAAGGACATTTTAACAGGATAAATCCAGCTACGCTGAGAAGTAAACTATTTAATGCATTCATTATCCTACAGAGTGGATGGACGTTTGCATCAATACACACATGTGGAGCCTCGTGTCCGGCTGCTATTAGAAGAAAAAGAGCAAGAACTGATGGCCTTGCAGGAAACTGTACAAGTAAGCATGAGCGCAATGATGTATGGGTACATTCCGATTTATTGTTTGATTTGAATTATGAACATGCTAATGGATGCCAATTAGCTATAATCTCAAAGCAATCACATTCCCACCATCCTAATACTGGTCAGCAAAACTTTTAACATTATTAGTTTGGTAAAAAGAGACCTTGTGCCTTATGTTAAACACTCCAGTTTAAGCAATTAACGTGGCACTGTAGTCAATATAACTATTTTATCTTATTGAAGTGGTTACAAACAACATGTAATCCTTGGTACATATGTCCACACGGCTTTCTTCCCAGACCACAAATGGGAAGGCGGAGCCTGTAGTTGTGGGATGGGTTGCAACTGGCCTATATAAAATCTCAATTTACCTCCATACCTTGCTGACAGCGCCTGGTTACCCCACCCACCACTCTACAAAGCTTAAAACTACTAATTGGTGGGCCCTCTTTATTTACAGGCCTACGGTAGGTTTCGGCACACCACAACCGACTTAGATTATTATACTTATGTTTATAGGTATAGGTCCACAATTATACGGCTTTCCTCCCTGATCACAAATATATATATATATATATATATATATATATATATATATATATTCTACTATTTACTCAAAAGCTTCACTTCAAGTTACTTACTGTAGCGGAGCCCTAGTCCTAGCCGGGACCCTCCTCCGCTGGTTACACCAAAGTACAGTCAGGAAAAAGTAAAACAATCCAAGGGAACAGTCAGGTACAAGTAAAATACTCCAAGAATCTCTCACCTCCTCCCCAGCAACTGGACGACATACAGCTCTGGGGGTACAACTGAAGTTTATTGGCACATACACAGCTTTTATGCCCAGTCCCATGCATTGGGTTTCACATATAGGAAAACAGCAGGGTTTTCAATCCCAGGATCCTCTGAGCCTGGGAGATAATTGCTTGAGAAAAACTCTAATTTCATTATCTCCCACGCACAGAAAATCCAACAAAATATCCTGTACCCCAAAAGTACCTCAACCATACCCCAGAACCCCACGAAAATTACATTCCCTGAAAGCCCCAATCTGAGTGTCTAACATATCTAAAAATCACTCAGATCGGTGTGGTAGAACAGGAATGGCATTGTGTCGAAGTTTTGACCGGCCAGGCAAGCCCCAAACAGTTGCAGGGAAATTGGTGCCCTTGCTGATCTCCGTTCGTGAGGGTCTTGTGCAAATACCATACAAGGAAATCTCTTTATTTCAGGATACGAATGCTCCCCCTGTTCGGTAGTTCATATCTCCTAAATGTCGTTCATGTAGGTGGTCGGGAACTGGAATGGGCAGTGATCTAAGGTTTACCGGCGCTCGCACGAGTGCCTAACCGAAAAGAGTTCCAAGCACTCGACGAGCAAGTACCACTGCCCACGTTCGGGAGACAAATGCCACCCAGAGGAAGCATTTATTAATTGTTTCCCTTGCAGTTTCGCAATTGAGTGGTTGGTGTAAACGTTCTAATGGGGCTTAGGGGTGGTCCTCGTTCGGGAGACGAAGGGGATCCGTTAGTATGAAGTCTCCCGAACGGCCAAAGAAGAACCACATGAAATAACAGGTGGAAAACACATGAAAGGTGGACGTTTTATTACAGGTGGTACGGACAGCTGAAAAAGGGGAATAAAAAAAAAGTCTGGCAAGCATCTAATCCGCTACACTTACTATGCTCCCCAATTTAATACACAGCCTCCCGCAGCCCGACACCACCACTCTAATACACTGCCCCCCAAATACACTGCCTCCCACCACTCTAATTTAATACACTGCGTCCCCTCCCTCCCCCCAATTTAATACACTGCCTCCCCTCTCTCCAGTTTAATACACTGCCTCCTCCCCAATCTAATATTCTGCCCACCAATCTAATACACTGTCCCCCTTGCTCCACTCTAATTTAATACACTGCCCCCAAATCCCACCACTCTAATACACTGCCTGCTCCCTCTCACCACTCTAATATACTGCTCCACCTCCCTCCCCCAATTTAATACTCTGCCTCCTAAATGTAATACACTACACTACAGGGAGGTTCCCCCAAGCTCCCTTTCCCCTACCTTAAGCCATCTTCCAGACAAACGCTCTTCTGGCACGCAGCCTGCTTCTCTGCACACTGGTCTACTGGGAAATTTCCCACAGGCTGCATGTTTGACAGTTGTCATGGGCCCGGACTGCTCTGGGAGTTCCGGGGCCCACATTGCCTATGTGCACGCGCGCACACACACACACACACACACACACACACACACACTATCCAAAATGATGGCTGCACTCCTCGGGCTTAGTATAGTTTATTAGGTATACATTAAAAATGAGATCAACGTTTCAGCCCCACTCTTGGGCTTTCCTCAGGATCAAAAAATACATCCTGAGGAAAGCCCATTTTGGATATTCTATGTGAAAACAGCCTGCTGACTTATGCACCCGGCATTACCTAAGAAAGCGTGAGTGCAAGGAAACTTTTGTCATATATATATATATATATATATAGCGCGTTTTTCAATAGATAGATAGATATCTATCTGCGGACCTCCAGTTAATGTTCGTTGCAGCTCACTCTCATTTCCCTTCCCAGCAGCTCCCGTCTAAATCTTGTGAGCCCCACAGCTGTCAGAGTGTTGCCACGGGTTACCATGGCAACGCGGCACACAGGCCGAGAGTGTTAGACAGGGGAGCTGCCGAGAAGGGAGTTGAGAGTGTGCTGCGGGTCCCCTCTGCAGAGTCCACGCCACCGTACCACTGCATTCAGTGTACACACACTACTATACACGCACACACTACATGAACTACACAAACACACACCATTCACTATACACACACATCATCTAATACACACAAACAGCCTTCACTATACACATTCTGCATTCACTATACACACACACACTACATCCACTACACAAACACACACTCTGCATTCACTAAATACACCACATCTAATACACACAAACACTACACTCACTACACAAACACACACACTCTGCATTCACTATACACACACACTACATCCACTGCGCAAACACACTCTGCATGCACTATTCGCACTGCATCTAAATACACACAAACACTACATCCACTACACAAACACACTCACTTTGTATTCACTACACACACTCACTCTGCATCTAATATACACCTCATACATTACACAAATGTACAATCTGCACCCACTATACACACTGCATCCATATTTACACACACAGTGTGTAGTCTCATTTCTCTCATTTAGGGTTTGAATCACTTTGTTTATGCAGCCATGGCCACAATTCTATTTCCTGTAAAGACAGATCTAAGCTTTAACCCTTCCTTTATTGCACAGTCCGTTTAATTTAGAATTTCTCATCTCTTGTTCTGTTAATAGCTTGCTAGAGCCTGCAGGAGTCTCCTAATCTTCTAATTTTCAATTAACAGAGCAATAAGTAACAACTTCTAAAGTTAACACACTATGCTTTCAGAAAATGAAAACATTTAAAGTTGTTTTGGTACTTAGAGTATCCCTTTAATATTATTTACTACACCACTATTTATTTTTGCCATGGGGTATTCAGACCGCATGAACAAGATCAGTGGTTCTCATTTTATTGACCTTGGTAGGATTAAGCTCTCAGTCGACCCCAATAGAAAGAGTAGATGTAGATTTTCACATATGTCCATGGATTTAGATTTGTAGGTGCATAGAAACATAAAAAATTAGCAATATAATCAACAAATACTATTGACATCGTGTTTAACTGCCACTGCCTAAGTAGCTCATCGCTTATCCACTCAAATTCTGAGGAGACTGAGGATATGAGTCCAACAACCAATGATAGCTAGGGGAAAGAATAGAAATGTGAAGTGAAATTATAAAAGGGGAAAAGAGGAATTAAATGGGATGGTGAAGCAAGCAAGAAACAGTGAAAACATATTGCAGAAAAACAAAATAATGGACAGGAGGAACTATGGAAGAATCATATGCTAGTATAAAATACAAGTCAAGGGACACAGAATCCGCACCACAGTGTGCACCACTACTTTACAGTGCTGTTTAGTGATGGTTTGTAGGGAATATACGAGTTGGTGGTAGGACAGAATGCAGTGTGGAAGGCATTGTTCTGGCGTGAGAAAATAAATTAGGGGTCTGAATGTGTAGGGACTTCGTATAGGATGGGCTGTAGACAAGTCATTATATAGGACATGTATCCCCTCAAGACATGGCCAACAACTTTTTTTTCTGGGGGGCAAGTACAAACAAATTGCACTTTTTTTTTTGCAGAGAAGACGTCATCGAAGTGTGACATTCATGCATCTTCCATCAGTATGACCTGTTCATCATGAGAGCAGTCACAGAAATATGTATTTACAAAGTGATCAACTTTTTTTTCCCTTTAACTGCACTGACACCAATGTTTCATATCACCCACATCCACTTGCAAACAAATTCATCATACATACGTATACACAGGCCCTGCTTACTGCCTGACTCATCCGTTACTGCAGGCATCCAAAAACACCATAAATAAAAAAATATTTAAAATCTTTCTTGCAGAGGCGTCACTGCCCCAAAAGGTCTCAGGCAGTCGCAGGCACATTTCGTTCAGGCATCTTACAGAGAAATGTCACGTACCCGCTCTGTATTTTATCCAATCGTGCCATTTTCACACATGCGTCATGTGCACAGCACTACAAGGGTTAACCAATTTACATGCAGCATGTAAAGTTTAAAATAAATAAAAAAAATAGCACAAAAAATAAAAATCTAACTTTGATGAAGTGACAGTTCCTCTTTAAACAGCTGTTAACTAGCAGATCCTGGTAAAATTCTGGAATGTATTGCTGGCTTCTTTTGGAATAACATATTGAATCTTACTGCTGTGATAAAGAACAATCTGCTCTGGTCTAACAAGAATCTATGAACAGGTCACGGTCTCCCATATCAAAAACTGTAATAGGAAACTTCAGAACACAAGAAAAAATTTGGCACATTCTGCACCCTGACATGAATTTAGAGGTCTAGCCACAGGTTTGCAGATGTAGAGAATGCAAGCAAAGATTGCTTCAGATATAACTAGTCATATCCTACCTAAATCAGCAGAAGGTGCATTCAGTTTTAGCTGAACATGCAAATTCTAAAATCCAAGAACGTTTCCTATAGAGATCACACCGAATCCGAAACTATAGCATGTTGTATAGTTGATACTATCACCAGCTCCTATGATTGAAATTTAGAATATACCAAAATGCACTTCAGGGAGGTGGCTTTATCAGCTACTGTGCCCCCCACCCTCCCACACAGCCTCCAAACTTATATGAACACCTTAACACTCTGCTATATGCACTGGTGCATACACACACACACACACAGTCACATACAGACACAAACGGACACAAACAGGAACATACAGATACACATTCAGATTGAGTGTGTGATTTCTGGGTTATTGTATAGGATTTGCGGGGGTAAGGGAGCTGCATTCAAAATGTGGGGAAATCTTAGAGCCTCCGGGAGACTTGGTATGTCTGATATACTAGCATAACAAAAACCATGTGCAACATGATGACTCATCACAAAGTAGCGGTGACATAAGTTTAAATATACAGTAAGGGTGGTCTGATCCCTCTACTGTATTCAGTGGCACAAACAGTAAAGAAAAATTGCAAAATAATATATAAATTACCAGATATTATCCTGCAGATAAATCTGCTATCCTAAATTTAATTATTTATAAAATATTTTACTAGGAAAGATAGATTGAGCTTTCTCTTGTTTTCAAGTATGTCCTGGGTCCACAAAACATTGCATTGATACAATAGGGTACAATAAATTACAAAAACAATATTAATACACAATATATACAAAATTTAACATAGAACAGGTAGGAAATATATAATCAACCATGACAGGTGCATTTTGATTTGAAGTATGTAGCGAGTGATCTCTTAAAGGATTTTAGGCCTGGGGAAGATTTGAAAGAGTACGAGAGGTTGTTCCATAAATGCGGTGCTCTGTAGGAAAATGAGGATCAGGCTGCTTTCCTTTTGTATTGGTGTAGACTAAATAAAGTGATGATACAGGATCAGAGGTTATAAGAGGTGGGAACAGCCAGGGAGAGCATTTTGCTCAGGTAGGGTGGGAGCTTCCCAGAAAAGCTCTTAAACACAAGGCTGGAAAGATGAAGGGTGCATCTGGATTCCAGCGTCAGCCAGTTTAGTTCTTTTAGCATGTCATAATGGTGGGTCCTGGAATTACATTGTAGCTCAAATCGGCAGAACATGTTATACAATGTATTAAATTTTATTAAGGTGGGTTTGCGGTGCAGGTGCATATACTACGTCCCCATAATCAATGATTGGCATCAGCATTTGCTGTACAATCTTTTCCTTTACTGTAGTGCTTAGGCAGGATTTGTTTCTGTACAGGACACCTAGTTTTGGATAAAGTTTAGATGCAAGTTTTTCTATGTGGAGGCCAAAAGATAGATTGGGGTGTAACATTTGAAAGAGTGGACTGCGGTCAGTGTGCTATTTGATTTTGTTGTGATGGATAGGTGGAAATTGTGTAATTTGTGTAATTTAGGTACTGATCCAAAGATCATGTTTCTTTCAAATAACAGTTTTTGTTACCACTACAAAGGGCACTTAAAGGGTTACTCCCATCACTATTACCATTTCTGCTTTTATAAGTGGCCATGGTGGTAGGAATCTGCTTAAAGCACTGCACATACAGAGATTTTTGCACTTTTGTGCTGGTGTTTCACCCCCGACACACATTACTTGAGCAAGCTGGAACTCTGTTCTGGACTGCCTAATGTTAATTCTGTGTAAAAATTCCATCTGTTGTCAGCTCGCACTGTGTGCTGGAGACAGACATTCTTCGTTTCGCCCCCTGCATGCAGCGCTGAAGGTGCGCATGCAAGGGGAAGCTCTCCCTCCTCCTTTGTGCTCTGTCCCAGCCTCCTTCCAGTGACTGATTATGCTTTTTTATTTTATTTATATTTTCTTATTATTGGCTACCCTCCCCTTATCCGCTCACAGCATGTGCATGTGCTCAGAGCCCATGAAACGGTCCAATAAAATGCTTCTCTGTGAGGCATTTAAATCGGACTGTGCAAGGGAAGCAGTGATATTAGAAGGGGCATGAAACCAAAGCAGGGAACTTTGCTTGGAGCTGAATTTTAGGCAAGTTTATTCTTCATTTTTAACTTTATTATTAAGTAGGGACCTATTGAGCAATAACAAATTGTCATATACCTAAAAAGGTTGGAGTAACATTTTAAGTGTAAGCTTACTGCCAATGTCAAGACAAACCTCTTAGGTGAGTCCTGTACAATCTATTCACCTTTATGCTTTCAGCTAAAAGGCAAAATCTGTCATGAAAAAAAAAGGTTATTCCACACCTGCCATCCTGGGTTGATTCCCTGGTGTCCTGCATCCAGGGAAGTGAAGTAAAGTTATAAAATAAAGCATAATGCAAGCACTTCATTACATTTTAGGGGAGGTTTGAGCACCGGCATAGTTTTGGATAGACCATTCCTAATTTATGTTCAAATGGCCAAATATATATATATATATAAATATATATATATATATATATATACACATTTTTTTACAGTTGTCATATATAAGAAGTGTGCAAAGCAGCACGATTAGGGGTAATGTTGGCTCTGTTATTACAATGATGCCATATAGAGGGCTGAAGTTTGAAAAGGCTGAATTCCAGAAATGGATATCTTAGCGATATCTTGGGACTGACATAAGCAGGACAGTTGGGAGCCTTATAAACACTACATTTAAAAAAATTACTATTACTAACAAGTTTACTTTTAATATAAAAGTATATGGATAAATGATGTATTTTAAGACGAGATTTAAAAATAACGCTGCACTCCCAGTGTCCTCCTTGGCATGATGGCACTGAACCAGGCATAAAAATGTCTGCTTGGAGAAAGACAGGCACAACATAAACTGTTTAGAAATGTTATCATAGCAGCACACAATTTTTACACTTCTCCTTTGTTCAAAGTTACTGCAGACATAAACAGCCATCTTCACCAAACGTGTTCAATATACACAAAATAAATGCAGTATATTTTGTCTGTTAAACATGCAGAGTTCTTAGATCTAAGTAAGGACATTAGGCTTATTTTTAAGTGTCATATTAATTTTGAGATAAACACGATCTGGAGCGCTAATCTCAAAGGCCCGCTATGTGTAACATCTGCCTTTATGACAGCATGGTTAATACTGGTTTTGAAAACACAACCCATAGGAGTCATCTTGAAGCAGCTGTTTCACATCCATCCTCCCTTCTCCAACACTGATAACAGTTGAGAAACAACCAGTCAGAAAATGTTGTCTTACAAAATAAATCCAAATCAAGGTAAAACAATTCTCAAATTGTGTAGTTGGCAAATCTTTTACAGAGCAGTTCACCACACTAAAGAGAAAGCTGACAGCCTGTGTTTAAAGATTGTGACATGTGCCTACAATTAGAGGAAAGCTGTGCTTTGAACAACGTATTTCCCACAACATTAGGCAGACTTTGGATAGCCACTAAAACACTCAGCTGCCACCCTGTGTTTAAACATTGCTTTGTAGGAAAACAGATCTTGCTTGTAGAAATAGAAACCTTTTTTTTTTAGCTCATATCCTGCTGGCCCTGTCTTGGTGACAAATGGTTTGTGTCTGCAGTGCACTTAGTAATGGAAAATAGATACCAAGGTACTGATCTGATTCTCAACCAACAAACAAGCATTTGGAGGATATTGTTTTCCTACTAGGATCTTAAAGGGTTACTTCAAACATCTTTTTGAAGTGGCCATGGTGGTAGGAGTCTGGATGTGTAGTGTTTCAGCTTGAACGACTGCACATCCAGAGTTATTTTTAATTGTGTGCTGGTGTCAATTTGCACCCAAGCACCTGTGACTTAGGCAACCCAGATCTCTGCCTAAGAGCTGCTTAATCTAGATTCTGTGCATATTTTGCACCGGTCATCAGTGCTAACTGATTAGGAAGCACTTGTCTTTGCTCGCTCCCACACAGAAGGAAGCATGCACTGAGCAGCACCGGAAAGCTTTGCCCAGTGCTTGTTTGAGGTAAGTAAATCTTCTTTAAAAACGCTCTTTGAGGGTTTATTAAGAGGGGGGGACGATACATATATACAAAAAAGGTTTTGATAAAGCCTTTAACTAAGGGATTATTCTCAAAACTTTACATAATTGTAAAACGTAAAGATCCATAGAGCACCCTGTGTCTACTCTCAGCTCTGAGTAGCTTAGAACTGAAGCAATGTATAAAAATGTCTGCAGCTCTAAGACAGTCCATCATCACGGTCATTCAACACGTCCAGAAGATATAGGCTACCCAAGTTAATATTGTCCAACTTGTGCATGCGTGTGCGCAACTTGGGCTGAACTCTCTCCCCTCCCATAAGAGAGAACCGAGTTGTGGGCAGTCCCATAATACACATTGCAAGGGATTAGATGACTTCCACATCTAGGTCGGGCCATAGTGCCAGCATAGAGCTATATAGTCAGATGGTTGTAGAAACAATATCCATGTGTTTGGCTGGTGTAGGTACAGCTCTGTTTTTGATCCTGACCTTCTGGTTCCACTTTAACTCCCAGCTATGGGTCTGCTATCAAAATGCCTAGCCCATGGTCTCCCTCTTATATAGCTAATGGGGCAAAAGGTGATTTGCTTGTCCTGCGAGTGCCTGGTAGTTGATAGCATTCGGTCCTCTGTTCACTGGTCTGTCAAGGACCTGAGAGCAGTAGCATTACCTTGCCAAATTGTAGGCTTGATTTTATAGGCTCTGATCTCATATGGTTATATGGACATTATAGGTTGCTTATTAGAGGGCATAGAACTGTAGGAATGAGAATGGAAAAATCCTGCAAGAATGTTCTTAGTGCTTGGCAAAAGGTTGCAAGACAGTCTACACAAAGGTAAGAATGTTAACAGAAGGTCCCATTTCTGAAGCAGGGCAGTAGAGTCAGCATTATTAGAAGGGAATGTTCCACGGTAAAAATAATTTCTAACTGTAATCTAAGTTTTTTGGGCAAAAAGGAAATAGATTGAAATAACTGGGGACCCAGTGAAACTGAAAGCAATGCGGCATACTTTAACGGAGGCAAATTAAAGCTCTCGATGATAGTTAATAGTGGTTGATGAGGTCCAGATCTCTGCTTCAGTGATTCTAACCATTTGACAAAATTAGATGGAAAGAAAGCCATCAGTGGATGTTAATATGGCAATATTATAATAAGGCAATCAGTGGTGTCAGTAATAACGGTATAATGTGGCTGTGTCCATCCTATGGGATAGCTTTGCAAGGAGTTTCCTAAAATGGAGGCTGAAACAGTCAGAAACCTAAAGATTAATGATAAACCACAATGTACCAAGTATTGATCCCTAGGTGAAAGCCACAGCCAAAAGGCTTGCAATGTAGCCATCATTTAGTGTAAGTAGACTTTGTAGTTTCAGAGAGCTGGATTAGTAATTCCAGCTGAGTAGTACTCTCTGAGAATTGGTCTCTACATGCTTCCTGGAAAACAACCCCCTCTCCCCCCCCTTTAAAGTTTACTTTGAATTCACAACATGTCACACTTTAGTGAATATGCCTTCAATTATATATTTCATCCAGGCAGGCTTAGGATATTATAAAAACAAAAAATCTAATCCTAATTAGTGCAGCACTGATTTATACTCGCAGTTATAGAAGACAGTTGGACAACCTAGCCTGAAGTTCTAAATATTTTTTGTGTGTTTAAATCTGGTGAAGCAGTTGTTTAGAGTTTTTATAGTTTTGTTTATATTTCCTAATGTTATGTACTTGAGTAATTCCTAACTATGCGAGTTATGTTTTCTGCTGCTCTGCACAAAAACTACAGCTTAGTCTTAGCTGTGACCTTCACTGGGTATGGTCAACTGAATGAGCTCTCTCTTTGACAGATCCTACAGATGAAGGTCCAGCGTCTGGAGCACTTGGTACAGCTGAAGGACCTGAGGATAGAAGATCTAACAAGGCACTTAAACAAACAACGAGGGCATAGGAACATCACCTGAAACCCTTGTGCTACAGCCAAAACAAGCATGGTATCACCTACATTGCCTAGTTTAGTAACACTCAGAGAAAACCATTAGCAAGAAACATATTCTGGACTTGCAGTTATAAAACGCCAGACACCAAGGTTACATATATCTGAAATACAACAAATTGCACAAATGGTTCTCATACCAGGCTGCTGACTCTGTCTGGCAATGTGTATCGAGTAGTCAATGCCATTTACCAGGGGCAAGCAACTTTAGCATTTAAAGTGCACCTGTCATGCCAAATATGACATGTCATTTTAAAGGGCATGCAAATGGATATTGTGAAATCCAAGTTGCATAGATGAAAAGTTATTTATATATTTATTTTTTGACCATCCCTGATCTCACCACTATGCCATTGACATAGTGGTAAATACTATACATATGGCAACCCAGGCAGCTGCATTTAATAATCTGTCTCCAAAGGCAGCTATCCACAACTCCTAGCTTGGAACTGAACACTAGTAGTTTTGGGATGCAGGGCGCCCATTCCTCTCACCATACTATGTGTGTACATGACATTTGAAGGAAACTGTAACGTTTATAGTTTTTTTTTATGTTAATAAAATTGAAAATAGAAAAAAAATAATCACCCTATCATGTCATTGAATGCGCTTTTTTATTTAAATAAATAAATAACTCCACTTCAAAGTGAGATGATCACTTTTTTTCTTTTTAATTCTCTATATAGGTTTTAAGTGTGTTGCTATGAATAGATTTTTGGTGGAAACTTTACGGATACCCTACAGCAGGTGGGCCCAAAAGGTAGATTCCCAGATGTTTTAAAACTACAGTTTCCATGATGCTTTGTAATGCTAAAGGCATGCAAAGAATCATGGGAGTTGTAGTTCTACAACATCTGGGGATCATCCTTTTGGGCACCCCTGCCCTACAGCTAATTATTACTTTTGTAAAAAGAGCACATCATGACACAGTGCTCTGCAATTCAAAAAAAGTGCTTTGAATCTTTCTAAACAATTCTTTCAAATCTAGCCTAGCAGAGGAAAACCAAATAAGCATTAAGTGACAATCTTACACAGCACATTGTGATGATTTCTATCATGTTCCAAGAATATTAGTAATAATGGTAAACTGTTATATTCACCGGAATTACTATGTGCTACATCAATTTGCATCAGATCCCATCAATGTGTCTCTGCAGTATATCAGATATAATAACCAGTAACTGTGGACACTCCCACCACATATGAACATAAGTTCTCTTTTCCTCGCACATGTGCTAGTAACCATCAGTTTCTGTCTTTTCTATACGGTAAAGCTTAACCAGAGTCACGTACCAGCGGCACATTATCTTAAATGATTGCTCCTGGAGCGTTACGCAAACTGACGATTTTGCACACACCTTCCACATATTCTCCCATTCATTGTCTCCCTTTCGTTTTCCGTTAAGCACTCACCCAGTCTCCACTCATTAAAAAAAAATCATTAAAAAAATGCTCTTTTTCACAAAAGCATATCAATTAAACTGTCATGGCTCCAAAGAAAACCACACGGTCTTCATTGAATACTATTCTACCAATCTACTTCCCTAATACTCCCCTTACCTTTTGTGTCACTTTACCCCACTCCCTCTAGCCTGTAAGCTCATTGAGCAGGGCTTCTTAATCCCTCTGTTTCTATACGTCAAACTTGTCTGGTTAAAATTACATGTTTGTTAGTCCACCCATTGTAAACGGCTACAGAATTTGTTGGCGCTATATAAATATAATAATAATAATTGTTCTCCAGTACCTCTAACAGGTCAGCCAACCATTCGATTATATATTCCATATTCCTGATGAGCTTATATGTTGGTAAAAGGCTGTGATTAAGCTGGTTTGAGTCGTGTCTTTGAGACACAATTTCTCAAAAGTGAGAGGGGTTTTATGGTGCTCTCTTTAACACCTCCATTCACACTAGACCTCAAATTTGTAAGGAACGTAAATAGTCGCTGGGGGTGAGATGTGTGGTGTTCTGTAATGTTGTAAAGCTGACTATCTCCTGTCCTTGGTATAAGTGCAGGTAACTCTGTAATCCTGTCCACTCTAATCCTCTGAAATCCCAAGCCCTCATACCTCGTAAGAATATTCTGTTTCATAGGTAGGGTGTCATTGGTCATGGATAGGACTCGAAGGCATATCGCTCTCTCACTGTGTCTCACATCCGCATGGAGTTTTGCGATCGCTGTGCATGTGATTCGTGTAGGACTCTCTGTGATTTAGTGACACATATTGTGGTGTATCTGCTCCCATGAGAAGGGATTCAATGTCTACCCACCTCCTGCAGTATGTGATTAAATGCCAGTGGATCACATGGACTAGTTGGGTTGCAAAGTGATAAAAATATAAGTGTAGTAATCCAATCCCCCCCCCCCCATCTTTGGTGATTTGGGGCCAATTGGCGGCGCTTGTGCCACCAGACAAATAAGTCTATTTAAGTAAAGCAGAGTGACTATTTGGAAGGGATTTATATAGTATTCTGGGCAGGATGTTCATTTTGATCGAGTGGATATATTGGCCTGTCTACCCAGTTGACGAAGTACTACATTAGGGTATGCAAGACGGGGGTGTAATTCTGAGAAAACAATTAGATGGGGCTAGAACGCCTCCCTCACTATGGTAAAATGTTAAGCACATTCCATCAGTACCGTGTACGTGGACCAGGAATCCCAAAACTCAATTGTGGTGCTCTGATAATATTTTTTGCGAAGATCTTAAGGTCGGAATTGATTAAGGATATGGGTCTATAATTAATTGCCTGAATATCATCACAGCTTGGCTAAGGCAGTAGGAATATGTTACCTAGGGCCAGGTCTTCGTCTGGTGTACCTCCCTCTCTATAGTAATTGAAGATTGTTTCTACCTCGAAAAAGGCTTTCTCAAAACTGTTAGAGACGTATGAATTTACATGGACCATGTAAGTCCATACATCTGTAACACTTTTCAGAAAGCCTTTTTCAAGATGAAACTCGTTGTGTTTTTTACTACCTGGATTGATTTAGATTTCCTTATTTTGTCTAATAAAGTAGTTGTTTATTTTTAACATCTTCTGGACTTACACCTGATCTTTTCTGCTGGAGCCCAGATACATTTCTCCTTGGTGGGGAGTATACCTCCTAAGTGCTGTAGATTGAGCACAAACATATTTTTGCTCTCCCTCTGTGAGTACCTCTTATTTTGTTTTATTATTTTACAGTGTTTAGTAGTGTACAGTATAGTTTTATTTTTATCTGCACAAAACCATCACGTCATTTGATTGCAAGTTTTTCGCTGGGACTTATATCATCCTGAGCTAACCTGCCTACATGAGGTCACCACGTACCTTAGCACCTTATTGAAGAAGAGACCAGCCATCCTTAGGTGGGGATCATGTCCGAGCGCCAGCCCTGCTGCATTCTAGACATGAGCTATTCGTTTCGTTCCGAATGTTAATTCGGACGAATTTCGGGCAATTCAGACAATCGGATACTTCCGAATGTCCGAATAGCTGAATTGCCGAAGTTCTGAAATTTACGAATTTACGAAGTGTCGAAGTTCCGAAGCACAGTATTACCGAAATACTAATATACCTACCCAGTGGAAGAATGAAGAATGTTACACTGTATACAAGTTTAAATAAAAAGTATACTAACATAGCCAGGATTCAGCTGTAAGCATTTGCAACAATTGCACATTCATATAAAATGTAAGTTACTTAGCCAGTCAATGGAATGACAGGAATGTCATAAGTAGAGAACTCCTTAATTCCCACGGTATTAGGGAACTATCTACTAAAAGGCTGAAAGACCTAAATTGGTCTTTCAGCCAAATTTACTTATAACACTATGTAATTTGACTCATAACTCTCTGGTTGGTTACTTTCAATTAACCAGAGTGTTGTTATGAGTCAAATTACACAGCATGGGAAAATTCCAAAGAACTTTCCCACGCTGTGTAAAATGACACAGAGCACTCTGATTGGCTGGATTTCAAGCTAACCAATCAGAGTGCTGTGACAGGTAAATGTAGAGACTTACCTGTCAGTCTCTTCATTTACCTGTCAAGTTCTTTGGAAAGTTCTTCACCCTCCATGGGTGAAGATGGATTTATTTATTTTTTGCGCTCAGGGTTTTTTTTGGTTTTTTTTTTCAAAGTGCGACGGTTATTATGCATTTTTATTTGGCCTTTTTTGGGGCTGAAAAAAATAAGAATTTAGAAAAAATAAGACATCAAAGTGTTTTTTTTTTTACAGGTACCTAGTTAATGGTTCTCCCTCATTATTCTTAGGGTGAGTGGGGTGACTAGGGGTTTGGGAACACAGGCTGCTCACTGTTTAATAGACATGCCCCTACTCGCGGTATAGCAAGTAGGGGCAACATTTACTAATACTAAGTAATTTTTACTTAGTATTAGTAAATTTGGCTGTAAGACCAATTTAGGACTTTCAGCCCCTTGGTAGATAACTCCCTATTACCGTGGGAATTAGGGAGTTATCTACTAAGCGGCTGCAAGAGAAGTCCCGAAGTGCCAAATTCCGGAATGCCGAACCAAACCGAAAATTTTCCCCATGCACATCCCTACTGCATTCCATGACGGGCCGGTAGGGAGATCAAAGATCTCCCTCACTGGCCCACTTACACAGACATGCGTGCGCCGGCTGGGGAGGGAGACAGGAGAGGAACCGGCGGAGCTCTATCTTGCAGCTCCGCCAGGTTACTTCATGGCAACACCCCAGATCTTGCGAAAGTGAACTCTAGCCTTGCAGGCTAAAGGTCACTCACCACTAGCACCAACAGGGAATGCAGCACAGTCCCCCCTCCCAGGCTAAAAGTAAGAAATTAGGAGGGGGGATAGAATGCTTGTTTTTTTACCCCCCAACACACAATCCCTTCTAACATATACACACACACTTCACCCCATCCATCACACACAATACACCCCTCACACACACAGAACCACATGCACAATACTTCCAAACATATTTATATATTTGAAGGCTTGGCCTGGAGTTGTGAGAGGGGCTTGGTTCACCTTTAAAAAGGGCTGCCAATCCACTCCCACCTTACCGTTGCTGGTCCTGCGAGTCACCCCTCCCACCACTCCCTCTATTTATAATACCCTCTAAGGTGGGCCCACTTTTATTACAGGCCTACTGCTTTGTCGGTTCCGGCACACCACAACCGACTGCATACTTATTGATGTTATTATTATATTATGCTAAGATTTCTCTGTTCGTCCATATTGCCCCGACTACAAATAAAATAAATATATATATATATATATATATATATATATATATATATATATATATATATACACACACACACACACACTACAATCACCCCTCACACACATACTGCACCCCTAAACACATTACATTCCAGACACAGACTAGATCCCTTACCCAACTCTGGATCATCTACACACATACACATACCCTTTTTTATTATTATTATTATTATATTATTTATATAGCTCCAGCAAATTCCATAGTGCTGCATATACACTCTGAATTCACTATATACACACACATTCTGGGTCCTTCAAACACACTAGACCCCTATACATACATACACACACACACACACTAGATTCCTTGTAAGCAAACACAAACTTTCTACAACCCCTACAAACACTACATCACCTATACACACACACACACACACACTATAGCCCGTTTGCACACACTTGCTACATCCCCTATACACACACTCTCTACAGCCCCTAGCCACATATGCATTATATTACACCACAAACACAAATGACAAAAAACAACCTTATTACACAATACCACACCACAATCAGCTCACTCTACACACACACAATCCCACAAGCAGGCTCCAAACACATTTATAGAGACACCAGAGACAAGTTGCAAGGAAACACAGCGCAAGCATGTTATTAAATTTGCTGGCTCTGTGCAGAACAAATACAGGGCTTTTTTCTCATGCTAGAGCTCTTCAGCAGAGCTCTGTGCATGGTCTGCCCTGGAAGAGCATTGAACCAACATGCTCACTTTGAGAGGGGGCGTGTTTGTCATTGGTGATGACAAAACACACCCTCTCTGCCCTGCCCCCTTCTTAGTGGGCCGCTGTGATTAAAAAAAATGCCTAGGCTGAATTTTTTTTTCACAGTCCGGCCATGAAACGCGGGATGATCATATGAAAAGTATGATCTTCGACTCAATGGAAATTCAGATGAAAAGGACTGAAAGCATGCAACACAACAAGATAAGTGTCAAACCTTTCATTAAATGTACTGGTAAAGGTATTTGCAAAGGAAATAACAGTGGATGTTCAGTAGCATATAACATGTAAGGTAGCGATTTTTTAGATCAGTAGATAAAGGAGATGTTTAGTCCATGACAGGATGTTGGAGCTTTGCTGAGGAAGTAAAAAAATAACCTGTCTACATAGAAATCCATAAAAAATATATTGTTTTTCAGTAACCATGTCAGAGTTCAGTCTTAGCCTACGTCATGAGCAGAGGTCAAGGCTGGAAGAGAACAATTGAGATTCTCAGTCAAAGGTTGAATCAGGCAGAAAAAATACAAAAAGAAAATTAAACACAAATTAACATGTCACAGAAACTAAGTTTTTACACAAGAAAGACATGCAAAATAATAAAAAAAAAAACAACAAAAAAAACCCCCACAACTCTAAAAGTCTACATTCTAAATGAAAGAATATATTCAGTTCTGCCGATCATTTTCCCCAAAATTTTGTTTGAGACGTTCGTCACCCACGGTCTAGTTCGGCCGTTTTTTACCCTGGAACAATACTCAGGCAAACCAAAAAGGGCCAATCAGTGTACTTCAAATGTGCACTGCAAAATGTATACACAATATAAACATCTATGTGTTTAGCAGTACACAGATGGGCCCATTTTCCTGCCATTTGGTTCACAGATAACCAAGGGGAAATTTTTTTATTTTTTTTTTAATCAATAGAAGGAATAAGAAGAGTAGCAGAGTAAAAAGTTCAGAGATTGGTCAAAACCAAATGCACAAGTCTAATGTATATAGTACAGCGAGGGATGACCTATGGTCAGAGTATGGTATGCAATGGTATGAAAGACTGCAGTGCTGAATTTTAGATACTTGGTGTTCCATAATCACTTATTGAAGTGAGATTCTAGAATGAGACATTGAGGCCAGGGCACACCTGGTCTTTTCACAAATTGCCCTGCTTGGCCCTTCTGCTGGTTAGGGAATTGTTATAGGCTAACTCTGTGGTTGCCATGGGTGAAGAGCAGAAGGACCACCTGTGGAAGGCCTCTTCTGTTCTCCTTTATCGGTTCCATGCTAGAATCTATGCCGAAGAATTGATTGATATGTTGACGAAAAACCTATTTTAAATCCAAAATTGCCATCACAATTTATAGGTGAAATTTAATGCACTTTAAAAAGACCAAAAAGTAGTGTTGGGCATGACAGGTTCCCTTTAAATCCTCGACTGTCTATATACCTTGAAGAATGGTTTGGGAACTACTGCCGAAAGCACAGAATTTAGTCAACTGTCACAACTCGGAAGAAAACTGTGATATGAACACAGCTGCTGGCCGGCTGTGGAGGATTACTTTATAGACTTGTGCTTTATTACCCTAGCATTGTCCTCTGGTGTGCTGCTGCATTAAAGAAAAGGAGAAAGTATCTAGGAGCTGGACAGAAGTGCATCTGGCAAAACACCCCTATTTTACAGAAAATCAAATAGTGATAGTGAACCCCGGTGTGTGGGTACTCAACCTCAGGCAAAATAACATTTGCAAGTAGCAAATGCTATTTTAAGGGAAACATAAATTATCTTAAGTGTGATTGGCTTTAATTATAGCACAAGGTTAACCTCTGCTCTGAAAGGGCTAAGCGCCAATAAACCAAGTAATTGCTACCATACAATTTCTTGGTCCGGACTATGGATTTGTCACTTAAACTGATTGACTCTGCCATGTTCAGAACTCCAGTTTTATTATCGATATGCAGTTACACTCTTGATAA